CAAAAATAACATAGTGAATGATTTAATTTATATGAAATTCTTGAAAAGACAAAACTATGCTGGCAAAGTTCAAAATAGTGATTGCCAGGAGTTGAGGTAGGAAAGATAGAACTGTCAAGGGAGTTTCTGTTTCCGGACAATGGTGGTGATGGTTACACAAATCTCTCCATGTGTTCTAACAACTAGAACTATATTTTCCAAAGTTGATTTTTTTTCTAGTTATAAACTAATTCCCGGAGGTGTAACATACAACATGGTGACTACAGTGAACAACACTGTATGTAGTGTATATTTGAAAGCTACCAAGAGTAGATCTTAAAAATTCTCATTATAAGAAAACAAAGTTGTAACTATGTATGATGTGATGGATCTTAACTAAACTTATAATCATGTTGTCATATATACATATATCAAATCATTATGTCATACACCTAAAACTAACCCAGGGTTATGTCTCAATTAAAAAAATTTAAAATTTCCAAGTTTATATACTTTATTTCATACATAAATAATTAAATAAAAGTTAGTTCTTTACTTGTTCTAGCCACATTTCAGTTTATCAGTAGCTGCATGTGACATGGGGCTACTGTATTGGACAGTACAGATATAGAACATTTTCATCAACACAAAGTTTTACTGGACTGTGCTGTTTTACAGCAGGGTTCTGCTTTTCCGGTAAAGGGCTAGGAAGTAAATAATTCCAATTTTGTGGGCCATCTGCTCTCTATCTCAGCTATTCAGTTCTACCATTGTATTGTAAAAGCAGCCATGGACCTAATACTTAAATGAACATGGCTGTATTCCAATAAAACTGCATTGATAGAAACAGTCATGTTCTGCTGATCCCTATTTTTGAGATTTGATAGGTCTATTTCCTTTTTTCATGTCAGCTCAGAGTTTCTTGGTAGCGTGGCCTTATAATTTATCATATTAAATACAATTTTAATTGTAAATTTGAGAGTGAAAGTGGCCACTATTAATAGCATAAACTGGGAATGTCTTCCTATGAATTGATTGCCCTGGTGGTAGGCTTACTAGTATACCTAGTCCACGTAACGGTAGAAAAGCAAACAAAACTATTTCTTCAGCAGTGGCTGTGGGTTAGCCATTTTCCTTGAAAGGTAGTATTTATATGGGAGACACCCTGAAGTTTGGCCTGCCCAATATACTCAAAATAGCCTGTTTTCTGTCCCTGTGCCTTGCTCATGCTTTCCTTTCTATGCCCTCTTTCCCATCCCTCTTATGTGTTTGTTCTAATCCAGCCCATCTTTCAAACCTCTGCTTGAATGGTATCTCCTTCATAAAACCATCCCTTTCAGACTTAGAAGTTGGTATTTATACTTCATAAAATTCAAAGGGCTCAGTGCCTTAGACAGGGTCCCAAAATCTGACTAAAGTGCCTTGATAGCTTTAAATACAGATTTCTGGGGCAATAAAAACATTCTAAGTATTAGATAGTACTGATGGTTACATAACTGTGAATATACTAAAAACCACTAGATTGTACATATTAAAAGAGTGAACTTTATGATATGTGAATTATCCTATATAATAAAAGGGTAATATGCAAATCGACTGGAAGGCGGAACGACCAGCCGCTATGATGTGCACTGACCACCAGGGGGCAGGTGCTCAATGCAGGAGTTGCTGCCTAATGGTTAGTGCACTCTTACAGGAGGAGCTCCGCTCAGCCACAAGCCTGGCTGACAGCTGCAAGTGCAGCGGCAGTGGCGGGAGCCTCTCCCAGCGCTAAGTTTATTCAACTGTGACTTAGGCCTGCTCTTCATGGGAAGCGGGCCTAAGCCATCAGTCAGACATCCCTGAAGGCTCCTGGGCTGCCAGAGGGATGTCTGACTGCCAGCCTAGGCCCAATCCCCCAGAGAGTGGGCCTAAGCCAGCAGGTGGACAATCCCCCAAGAGGTCTCAGACTGTGAGAGGATGTAGACCAGGATGAGGGACCCGCCCCCCACCTGCATGAATTTTCATTCACCGGGCCTCTAAGTGTCTAAATAAAGGTCTTATAAAAGTGTTATATTTAGTGAAAAATTTAAATTCTCTGACAAGGAATTTGAATTTTTGTCTTTAAAGCATTGATGTGTGTTCCTAAAGCGTTTTAAACTCAAGAACATCACTTGGAGAGCATGTGAAGAATGGTTGGCAAGTCAGTGATGATGGCAGAAGAGGGCTAGATCCTTAAGAGTATTTATCTTCAGCTTTCTGCCCTGAACAAGTCTGAAAACTTTTGTTATTGATACTGAATTAGAAAATTCGAACTCTACACCTGGTGATATTTTATAATATTTATCTTGCTCATGTTCTTTTTTTCTAATAAATTGCTCTAGGTCAGTGGTTCTCAACCTGTGGGTCGAGACCCCTTTGGGGGTCGAACGACCCTTTCACAGGGGTCGCCTAAGACCATCAGAAAACACATATATAATTACATATTGTTTTTGTGATTAACCACTATGCTTTAATTATGTTCAATTTGTAACAATGAAAATACATCCTGCATATTAGATATTTACATTACGATTCATAACAGTCGCAAAATTACAGTTATGAAGTAGCAACGAAAATAATTTTATGGTTGGGGGTCACCACAACATGAGGAACTGTATTTAAGGGTCGCAGCATTAGGAAGGTTGAGAACCACTGCTCTATGTGATTAAAAAAAGAATTGTAGTTACAGGGTATTAGAGATAATATTTTGAAATTTACCTCTGTGTGTCACTTGACCATAGTAAATTTAGAAACAGCTAACTATGATTTATTTTAGCCAGTAGAGCAAGATTCTTGATGATTCATATGCTTTAAAGACCTTTTATTAATAAGCATACGGATTTTGATAAAAAGCCCAAATTTGTTTTCTGAGCATTTAAATTATTCTTCCCTACTTTTTGTGAATGATCTTATTTCTGTCAAATAAGTTACATATTGGAAAACATTTCAGAAGGCAAAGATTTTAGCTGTTTTTTTTTCTGATTGACTAGAGAACCATAAGTTTTATCCTTTAGAAAATTCTGGACTGATTTAAATTTTGAAAAATTCAAAAGTCAGGCCTATAGTAAATATTGGCTTTAATAAACTGTCATAGTTTTTTGTTGTTGTTAAATATGTGCTGGTGTTAACTATTAATAAATGTTTTTAGAAGAATGTAGTGTGTACAGCAGCCATTTTGGACAAACACACTTTGTGTAACTTGTGTTGTCAGTAGAGAGTGTGCCCTCTTGTGGTCAGTTGGGAACAAAATTTCATCTATAAAAATAATCCTAGCTTTCTATTGGTTCACATTTTCTCAGCTATTTCATAATGAAATAACTCTCATTCTGAACTTTCTTTCATAAACAAAACAAAATCATGACAGGATTTTTAAATGGAGAATTAAGAATTTGAGAGAGTAGTGTCTTGTCTTATTTTATTTGGATACGTGCTAAAAAAGATGTGGGTTGAAGGACGGCGTGTTAATATCAGGGAGGAGCCTAACAGAGACAAGATAACGAAGTATGAGAAAAGGCAAGTAGTTTTGATAGTATTTGAGAAGATTTATGACTAACATTGATGTGATATACCTGAATATTTTAGGGTTACGCTCTGCCCCCTTTACAAAATGTTTCCATAGTGATACTCTGATTTTCTTTTTTATTGGGGTGTGTGTGTGTGTATCTTCATCTTCTCAGTCTAAGGAAGGCAATAAATACTTATCTAGCACTATCTATTTGAAATGCCTATCTCATTTAGTGGAAATTAAATTTACTTTGAAATAACAGTTGATATCTGCTGTGCACTGCCTGTCATAAGTTGGCATCATAAGTGTTTATTAATTATGGGAATTTAAGGAATTAAATTTTCCTACAAATTTTATTTCAACTTCATTCTTAATTTGTGTAAGGAGATCTTTTAGTACCTTTGTTTTTATTTTTGAGTTAAAAGGTTAAATTTCACATTTCAGCAATGGCTGTGTCCCATATCCAGCTACCTTTCTGTATCCTTGGCTGATATTTTTAATGCCTCAGTATTCTTAGCATTCCACTGTTGGTGCTTTTATCATCCCTTGTGAGTGATTCACTGATCTTCACCAATTCATTAATATGAGTGCTGCAACTAAGAGTAATTCTGGTCACATGAATGGATCTTTCTGTGATCAGGGAATCACATGTATTGGTCTTCATTGGTTGATATGAAAATTAATTTATTAAGTTTTAGTTTATAGTTCAAATATTATATGTTATAATAGTTTAAAGTTATTATGCAATTAAAGAACATTTTAAATTGACAAATAATTACTGCCATTTAATACAAATTGAAAAGACAGTTTCTGTCTGTAATTTTTAAAGTGATTTTTAATATGTGGCTTATAAAAATATATTTGGTTTGTATTGAACTGCAGTGATTTGATTGTGCCATCAGGTGTGTGTATAAACAGATACACAGGGGCTGTTTTCATGGTTATATAATTATGTTAGCTTTTCATATTCCAAGGTTTTTAAATTAACAAGTTTAAAAATAGTTAATAAATTCAAAATTTTAACCAGGCTGAATGAATGCAATAGAGTGTAGTGCTTTAAAGCTCAGACTCTGGAATCGGACTGCCTGAGTCGGAATCCCAGCTCTGTCACTTACCAGCTATAATGGCCTTGGCCAGTTCTTTAACTTCTCTGTGCTTCCGTTTTCACATATGCAACACGGGAATAATAGGAGTACCTGTTTCATAAGATTGTTGTGAGGATTAAATGAATTAATATAAAAACACTTAGAATAGTGCCTGGCACATAAGGCTTATGTGTATATTAGCTATTATGACCATTATTGTAAAATTTATGCTTAAATTAATAATGAAATTCATTGTAAAGAACATAGTGTTTGTTTTGTAAATGTAAATCACTTTTGCAGTTATTGCTTTAAAAAACATTTCTATGTAATTGAAAATAAACAGCTTATGACATTTTATAAAATTTTTAATGAAAGCTTTTTTCACAATTATCTTCTCTTCTTTTTTTTAGGCCCGGAATGTTAACACTGGTGAATTAGCAGCAATTAAAGTAATAAAGTTGGAACCAGGTAAATTAATTGAAATTTGATGTTTCTTATTGCTGTATGCAACTAGCTGTCTTTAAGGCTTATTTTAATGATATTTCGGTAGCATTCTCTTATTGTTCCCAGTATTTTCTGGGAAATGGAAGTGGTATCTACTCTTTCTTACACCTCTTTGAGACCTGAAGACATCTTGCTCAACCTGTTCCTAAAAAATAATTAATTATTGGGGGAAGGGGAAAACTCCTGAAGAGACTTTGTTCCTTCTGAACTCAGTTGAGCAAACTTGTCTCAGATTGCCAGTGGTATGCTCCCCGGTTAACAGTGTCCTGCGGTCAGGGGGCAGTGGTGCAGTGGAAAGAGTTGAACTGAGATTTGGGTGGTTGTAGTCCAGTTCTTTGTGTCCCACTCCCTTGTCTGTGAACTTGGGCAAGTAACTTCACTTCCTGAGTCTCACTTTTCTCAATAGACCTAGCTCTCACATTTTGTCTTAGTTACTTTCCAACTTTATTGTAAAGCCTCTAGGACTACTCCATGTTTTTTGTCAGTTTCAACTGTATTCTACCCCTGAATTCCTCCCACCTCCCGCAAAGCCCATAGCTTTCTGAGTTAACTATACACTATTGTTTAGCCACTCTAAAAAAACCCATTTCTCCTTTTCTTTTCTGTTATAAGCAAGCAATTGTGTTAGTGTCAAAATTGAGTTCGAGAGCAACGATGCTGCCTTTCTGATGGCTTCTTCCACTACAAACTGATAATATGAATTTATTGGTAAAATAGGTTTTAGCTTCAGTATAACATAAATCCACTCAAAATATTTTTGAAGGGGGGAACTTCTTTTGTAAAAAGGCCAGATCATAAAATATTTTAGGTTTTGTGGACCACCTATGGTCTCTGTATACAGTTCTCCTCTGCCCTACCTCTCTCCCTGTTAAAATGGAAAAACCATTCTCAGCAAAGCAAGCCACCTGCTGCTGTACTTTGCTCAGCCCTGATTTAGGTTATCGGTAGACTTTTTAGAAGTGCCATTAAGATGGAATTTGAAGGATGTGTTGACTATGATCAAACTACACTGAAATATAATGAATAAAAAAATGCTTTTTCAGTTATACCTATTTACAGATTTGATATAGTTTAATTATATTCTAACATCACAAGATAGTTTTTTCTTTTCTCTGAGTCCGCTACTCTTCAGTTTATTATAAGAAATTTATTGGGATTATTGAAATTGGTGAAATCTGGGATTAAAAATTAAAAATTTGGCATTTGAATCAGGGCCTTCATTTTTAGTTACTAATAAATAGTTACTTGATGGGAATAGCTGCTAATCAGAAGTAGTTTGTACATACATCATCCTTCAAATCAGTTTAGTGCCTTCTTTCTCAGGAAGTGTCCTAGTAGACACTCAGTAAATATTTATTGGCTAAATCAAATTAATGAAGATGTGAGACTAAGAAGATATCTTAGAGATGGGTTGGTGTAAACCATGACAGTTTTGCTAATAAATAGCTAACATTTATTCAAACTTATTTTGTGCCAGGCCCTGTTCTAAGTGCTTTACATCTGTTGACTCATTTAATCCTTATATTCTCTTTTTAAAAAATAAGGAAACAAAGCACTGAAAGTTTCAGTTTCTTGTCCTAATTAGTGGCAAGCTGAGATTTGAACCCTGGCAATATAGCCTACTCTTTCACCACTCTCGGAAGTTGGAAGTGGTGTGGGAACTGTATTAGTAGGTTTAGCTGGATGTTTGTTTAATTATACACATGTGTGCGCGCGCGCGCGCACACACTCACACACACACACACACACACACACACACACACACACACACACACACACAGTTTCCTAGAACTAGCATATGAAAAATCTTTAGAGGTAGAGCCACCGCTTAACAAGCTAAGTGAGTTTTATTCCCATTTAATGAGTACTAAATGAATTTCTTGGGGTAAGACACAAGTGTTTCTTCAAAACCAGTATATTTGCTCAAATTGGACATCTTTTGTGGCAAAATTGATGCATAATAAACAAACCAAAAGATAAACCAGCAAATAAACTTCTTTATGAAGAGTATAATGTAATCAGTTTAATTGGCAAGCTGTTCTTCACACTCTGGAGTACAATGGAGACAGTAATCTCAAGTAACTAATGGAGAGAGCGAAAAGCTGCCTCACCATTTATCAGTCTGGAGTAACAGACAGATAAAGTCTCACAAACAGTATTTCTCCCAAGAATGGTGCAGCTGGCAAGTGTCGGAACAAATCCTGCCTTTGAGTGACTGTGGCTTGCTTACTCTCTGAGAAACTTTGTTCTAAAAAATCATCGACTACCAGAAACTTGGCTGTGTGTAATCATATCAGCAAGAATCAAACTTCCCCCTCTTCCTTGGGGAATCTGTCATTTTGACATAGAGAGGCACTCTTGATTTACAGCCGAGATGCACAGCTCCAGATAAGGGGTTTCTGGACACGGCACCTACATCTATCTTAACTTCTCAGATCCTGAGGAAAGAGGACCTTGGCTTCACTTTTGGCAGTCTAGTCCTGAAGTGGACTCCTTTAGGACCAAGACTAGACTCTGCTTTGCCCTAACCCTACTAAAAGGCTGCTTCGTTTAAATGTCACCTAAACCCCACTCTTCCCAGAATCTTACTAGTATAACTCTTATCTTCTGTTGTGTGAGATGGCCCAAGGTTTCTCTGGTGTGTGGTTTTTCTCATTGCATTGGGTCAGTGAACCTGATTTTATCAGATTACAGGTTTGTTCTTGTGGTCTTCAAGCTGTTTGGCCTAGCACCCTGCCAACTCTTCAGACTTACTTTAAGGGAAAACTAAAGATAGAGAGAACTTGCTCATAGAAGAGAACACACATATGTATCCTCTCAGGCTTCACTTTCAGGTTCTTACAAGGTATTACAATTCTCTACATTATGAATCTCTTCAATCTTTTTTTTTCTTACGTTTTAAAGTCGGAATTGTAGAGTCCTAAGGAACTTTTTAGTTCAACTATCTAGATGGTTGTCAGATGTTTCACAGCTTTCAAAACTTTTGTCATAGAAAATACTGGTGGCTGGGAGCTATTTTGAACATTCTCTTAGACCTAACACTCACATGTCATATTGCAGAAAAGTAGGCACAGTGTTTGTAATTTGCCCAAAGTCTCACATCTTCTTTTGGATCTGATTCCTCTGATCGTGGCCCATTGTTCTTTAGTTTTTTTATCCTAAAAAAAAAATTTGATGATTAAATTGCTTATTATTACCCATTTGCAGTATTAGTTAGTAAAGTAGAATATAAAAACAGATAACTGATTAATTAAGTAGAAGCTTGTCAGAGAAACTCATTCCTTTTCAAACACAATGAAAACACCTACATCTATCTTAACTGCTCAGCTTCTGAGGAAGAGGACCTTGGCTTCGCTTTGTGCAGTCTAGTCCTGAAGTAGAGTCTCTGAGGACTGGACTGCTTTGCTCTAACCCTACTGAAAGGCTGCTTCGTTTAAATGTACCGAGATTGACCAGCAGGAAATTCATAGTGAGAAAATAGGGTATTATATTTTATTTCCATCAGAGCAGCATTTATTAAATTGTAGGGCAAAATTTTTAAAGTGTGAAGAGACACCAGTAAGACCTCATTTTACAGTTTTTTCATGGATCTCCAAAACTATATTTTATAAATCTTCTTTCCTTCTTTGAAAATCTTCTTTTCACGTTGGTTTTTTGTGTCCTGAGAGGCAGGAGAGGGGCTCTCTCCCCTTTATTTTCATCTTAGAGTGGCAAGACACCAGGGTAATGATGTATCTGACTCCTCTTCCTGTCCCCCTGGAGCGCTTCAGTAGCTCCCTCACCAGCAGTTGTTTATGCAGTGCTCTTCTGTGTTTATTGCCATCACAAGGAAAGTTGGTGTTACATCATTTATGATCGTTACTTGCATGGTTGATCATGGGATTGCTTAGCTACACTTTAATATATTTGATCCAAAACATAAAAATAAATAAAATAAAAAATACATATATTAGAGCCATATTATGGGCTTGAGGCTGACTATACTGGATAAATTAGAATTTACACATTTAAAGATAATAATGCTCAAAAATAAACAAATAACAAAGGACTTTTGAGTATATCTGCAGTTTCTTCCTCATTCCCAACCCTTTGTGTCTGTTAAGTGATTTAGCTTTATGAATATAAATACACAAGTCAGGATAATCCCCCATCCCAAGATCCTTAATTTAATCACATCTGCAAAACTCCTTTAGCCATAAAGTAGCATTCACAGGTGTCAGGGATTGGGAACTAAATACCTTTGGGGTCATTATTCGCTCTACTACACACAGTTAACATTTATTGAATGCTTAATAATGTCATGTTTAAGGATTTTGCATGTATTAGTTTGTATTTTTCTCTCTGTTTACTTGGTTTATTCATTATCTGCTCTATAGGTAGGCTTGCCTGTTTTTCTCAATTAGGATTTTTTGGGGGTTTTTGCCATCTTCTGGAAGATGCATTCTTCACTTTAATGTCTAAAAACAATCTCAGAATTGGGAATAATTTTTAGATTATGTAGTCTAATCATTCTGTTCTACAGTATCCTATAAAGTATTCTAGAATTGGGGAGGGAGCTTGTTAATCTGTTCTTTGAAATCCCTTCACTTGAGCTTTGAAGAAAGTTCTTTAAATCCACCATTAGGCTCCTTTGTATTATTAATGTATTAAACTCTGCTTTCTTTATTCCTACCCAAATCTATTTTTACCAGTTACCTTTAAAAACTGAGTTCTATATTATTTCTTTGGATTCTTTCCATCCATAAATATGTTGAATTTAATTTTGCCATTCTTGTAATCACATGGAAATGACTTAATAGGGAAAAGATAATGTACTTTGGATCAACAACATTTAATGGGAAAGAAGTAGTTGAAGGCTTAAAGCCACTCAGAGGGTACAGTAGAAAGTTCAAGAGTAGTACATAAGCAACTAATTGCATAACTGGATGAAATTAAACTAGATGCAAACATATCTGATTTAGAGTCATCATGGAGAAGAATAATGAGGTATGGTAGATTCACTCAGGCAACAGTTTTATTAATCACATATTAGGTGCTAGAGATACAAAGATGATTAAGGCATGCATAATCCTGTCCTAGAGGACCTAATGTTCTAGTGAGGACATAGACATGCAGGCACATTTGCAGTGTCATTAGGGCAGGGATATGTGCAGAGATCACCTTAGAAGTTGTGATGCTTACAGTTCTAACAGAAACCACAACTCAGGGTGGCTTCAAGAATGCAGGGAATTTATTGGTTATACTAGAGGCCCAGTGCACAAACTCGTGCATGGGGTCCCTCAGCCTGGCCGGTGATCAGGGCCGTGGGAGATTGGTGGGGGGCGAGGGGAAAGGGCGGGGAGGGAGGTTGGCCATCCGGCCCTATCGGGGCCAGCCGGCCCGGGGAAGGGACCGCAGGAGGTTGGCTGGCCACGGGAGGTTGGCTGTGGGAGCGCACTGACCACCAGGGGGCAGCTCCTGCATTGTGCGTCTGCCCCCTGGTGGTCAGTGCGTGTCATAGCGACCGGTTGACTGGTCGTTTGGTTGTTTGGTCGCTTAGGCTTTTATATATATAGATACAGGTATATCTAGAGGCAGCTGAGGTAGCACAATTACATCATCATATGCTTTCCTCCTCCTTCCTGTTTCTCTTCAGTGTTTTCTGCAGATCAACTTTATTCTAAAGCTGGTTCCCTTTGAGGTTGTGCGCTGACTGCTGAACTTTCAGGGCTACCCCTGGAAAGAGAACTGTTATCTGACCATCAAACTAAAGTCCTAGAGTTCACTCTGACTAGGTCAACTTGGATCTCATGTAACTCTTTCACAAGATTGGGGGAAAATATAGTTAAGAGGCAGGTGAGAAAGCAAAATTTAGAATTTTCAAAAAATTTAATATAGTCCTGAAAACTGGTATTAGTCTCATTTGGACTTTATTATTTTTAACTTGGATTTCTTTTAATGTACTAAAAATCTGGGATTCTTCATGGTGGGAATTGAACTCAGAAGAGGATTTCAGTCCAGTAATTTTCTTCTGAAATTTTGGAGGCATAAAAATTTCCTATTCTCCCTTTGGAAGTCTTCGATTTTGTGTCCTCTTCATTGCAGAAATTAAGACCCTGACATACAGTCTGTTCTCCGTTGCTATTTTCCTTGTAACGGGGCAGTGAGGTGGGTTGATATTGGGTCCAGTGGTTCATGGTTGGGCTACTTCAGTACCCTGGTACATTTGCAATAGGAAAAGACCAAGGCCAGAAATGTCATGGCTTGCCCTCACAACCTCATACTTACGATTTGAGGGATACTTTGGAAGACTTCTGTTTTTTACTTTGCCTAATATACACCTAATCAGGCTCTTCAAGCATGTAATACTTTAAAAACTGGAACAGTGATACAAAGCTACTTTGATTTAAATGTAAGCACCTCTATTTGTTCTCTTTTTGCATGGTCTCTGGCTCACCACATTTGCATTCACTGCAGTTCTTTTTCTCTCTCTGACAAGTGTTCATTCAGGAGCCACGGCATGTGACCCTGCTATAGCATTGCCAGATCTTATTTTGAAGAATTTGGGCAGGAGGGAGTAGGAGAAGAGAGATTATTTGCTAATAGTCTGACCAGGCTCAGCCCAGTTGGAACAAGGCTTTGGAATACAGGCTAAGCCTGTGTTTGTGGGCCACCTGACAACTCAATACTGCTGGAGTGTAGGCCTCTTGGCCCCACAAGAGCCTGTGGAGGTACATTTGACACTCTCGGGGTATTGGGGTTCCTGTGTTAGGGTTAGCGAATTATCAGTAAGCGCTATATAAGCATTTGCTGTTATTACTATTATGCCTTAGAAATAATCATCAGATAATTCACTAGAAAACAGACATTACTTTTTCCTTTTTACCAAATAACAGTGTAATTTTAGCACAAAGAATTAATCCTTTTTGAAGTTAGGGCAGGAACCCTAATACACTGAGAGTGTTGAATGTATCTCCACAGGTTCTTTGTGGGCCAAGAGGCCTATACTCTAGCAGTACTGGGTTACCAGATGGCCCACAACAGGCAATTATTTTTATCCCCATTTACAGAGGAAGAAATTGGCACAGGGAGGTCAAATAACTTATCCAAATTCACACAGCTTAGTAAAGGACAGAGTTGGGATTTGAATCCAGAAAGTCTGGGACCAGAGTATGTGCTTTTAGTCACTGTATTTTACTTTCTGTCAAAGACTGAAATTGTCATTAAAAGTATTATCAATAACATTAATTATGTTTTGAAATAAATGAACATTTTTAAACTTATTTAACCTATTAAATATCCAACATGCTTTTTTTTTTTAATTCTAGGTGAAGACTTTGCAGTTGTGCAGCAAGAAATTATTATGATGAAAGACTGTAAACACCCAAATATTGTTGCTTATTTTGGAAGCTATCTCAGGTACATTGTCTCCTTTTTGAAAAGCAATCATGATTCCAGCACCTAATACATTTAACAAAATAAAGTTAGCTCTAGTCCATGTTTTGTACTTTTTTTCATGCTTTGAAGATAGGATTATATGAATGGAATTTTTACTTACGATCTGTTTATGCTAATTCTGTAACTAATATGAGAGTCTGCAGTTGTCTGTTATACTCTTGGGAATTCTGGATGTGGTGTCAGTGAGGAAGCTGACAGAAAAAAAATTACTTTTATGGTTAGTCTCCCTGTAGTAGAATAGAGCTCTAAATACGCCATCCTGTTGCCCTTTCTTCTAGACTTGGGTGAATTTAGAAAGTCAGGATCACTTCTTCCTGTTATATTTTTACTAGGGGCCCGGTGCACGAAATTCGTGCACTGGGGGGGGGGGGGGAGTGTCCCTCAGCCCAGCCTGCCCCCTCTCACATACTGGGAGCCCTCAGGCGTTGACCCTCATCACCCTCCAATTGCAGGATCGGCCCCTTGCCCAGGCCTGATGCCTCTGGCCCAGGCATCAGGCCTGGGCAGGGGACCCCCAGATCCCTCCGATTGCTGGCTCTGCCCCTTGCCCAGGCTTGATGCCTCAGCCAGAGGCGTAGACCCCCATCACCCTCCGATCGCCTGATCGGCCCCTTGCCCAGGCCTGACGCCTCTGCCAGAGGTGTCAGGCTTGGACAGGGGACCCCCATCTCCCCCCGATCACTGGCTCTGGCCCCCGCCCAGGCCTGAGGCCTCTGGCCCAGGAATCATGCCTGGGCAGGGGACCCCCATCTCCCTCTGATCGCTTGCTCCACCCCCCGCCCAAGCCTGACGCCTCTGACCCAGGCTTCAGGCCTGGGCAAGGGGACCATCATATCCCCCCAATCCCCGGCTCCGCTCCCCATCCAGGCCTGATGCCTCTGGCCCAGGCATCAGGCCTAGGCAGGGGACCCCCGGCACCCCACCCAGGCCTGATGCCTCGGCCAGAGGAGTTGACCCTCATCACCCTCCGATCACTAATCACTGGATTGGCCCCTTGACCAGCCCTGAGGCCTCCGGCAGAGGTGTCAGGCCTGGGCAGGGGACCCCGAGCTCCCCGCGGTTGCAGGCTCCGCCCCTGCCCAGGCCTAACGCCTCTGGCTGAGGCGTCCGGCCCGGGCAGCGGGGACCCGCAGCTGCAGCGGCCCCACGATTGTGGGCTTCGCTTTAGGCCCAGGCAAGGGACCCCTAGCTCCTGGGACTGCCAGCTTCGACCGTGCCCAGCTCCCAGTGCTGGCTCCACCCCTACTTCCTGCTATCACTGGCCAGGGTGGCAAAGGCACCTGATTCTCCGATCATGGCTGGGGGGCAGGGCAAAGGCGGCCCTGGGGCCGCCTTTGCCCTGCCCCCCAGCTCTTAGCTCCCCCCTGGGTTTCCGATCACTGTCAGTGGCGGGGGGCTTCTTCCTGCTTTCCCTTTCGCCTCCCTGCATTGTGCCTACATATGCAAATTAGCTGCTATCTTTGTTGGCAGTTAACTGCCATCTTAGTTGGCAGTTAATTTGCATATAGCCCTGATTAGCCAATGAAAAAGGTAGCGTTGTACGCCAATTACCATTTTTCTCTTTTATTAGTGTAGATTAGAAACTCTTTTCTGTTGTGCTTTTAGCCTCAGAGTATTGCATCATTTGTTTCCTTCATTTTGTCCAAAGAACTAGGAACTATAATTATTTCATTGACTTCTTCTTTTTCTAGGTCTTTGAATGAATTTGGAAAGACTGAATTTGCCACCTTATTTTGGTTTAGCAGGACCAGGCCAGGTTCCCCAGGTCATATTCCAGAGGGGATGACCTCGGGGTCAAATCTCATTTTTCCATTCATTTCTATATGCAACCGAGTTCAATACTGTGACCTGGTTTATAAGGTTCCTTCCAAAGGAGGCATCAGTGAATGTTTTCTTATGTATTTAAAAAACTATTCAGTTTTGTTCTGATATATTATAGGATGTATAAGGATATAACTTCTTGTAGCTCCCATTCTCATGATCCATGCACAAAACACTTTAACCCTTCAGATGTAGGCACAGCACGTAGAAAACGCTGGGCGATTCTTGTCCTCTCTCTGGCTTGTGAAAAGCCATGGGGACCAGCTCTTCTTGATTCTAAGCCCTCTGGGACAGCTTTGATTGCCCACCTTCATTAAGGTTAAAGATGGGTAAATGGAGACTTCAGTTCACATAGGGATAGGTTCTGCCCCCCAGATCAATGACTGTTACACATTTTAAATGGGTTCTTTAACAGGCAATTTACAATTACTTTATAGTCAGTGGATCAAATAGTAACCGAACACAGTTTCTGCATCAATTTGTATTTTATGGAACAAACCCAGTACAGGTAGTTACTATATTAGCACAAACAAAAAACTCTTAAAATCAGTTAAGTTCATGAGATAAATAATTGATTGCTTTCAATATATTAAAATCACCACATCAAACATTTTGTTGTACTGTTACTGTTTCTGACAGAATGACCTACCTAGATTCAATTGGGAGAAGGTTTAGAAAGTTCCCCCCTAGTGCTCCCAACCATTTAAAAATAAAAAAAACATTTTTAGTTCCTGGACTATATAAAATCAGGCAGCAGGCTAGATTTGGTCCACTGGCCATATTTTGCTGACCCTTTTTCTAATCTGTTTATTCTTTCAGCCACTCATTTGTTCACGTATGAAACAAATTCATTTGCCAGATATTCTTCTGTGCATTGTGAGTGCATTGATGAGAGAGACAGACGTATTATTAAGGCAGAGTCTTTCTTCTGCATTAAACTTAGCTTGCTGAGTTCAGAGACTTTCTATTCCATCTTTGCCCTAAGAATAATGCATTTCCTCATACATTTTGTGATGAAATAATGGAGGAATGAACAAAGGAATAATCTATTAAATCTTTGCAAATGATTTCTCCTATGTCTATATGATTATGCTGTCTTACAATGTAAGTGTGAGAGAGAAATGTTATCTAAAGATAAGTGAGTGATAAAATTTAACATATTATTTTGGAAAGATCTTTGTTGAGTTTAGATATAAGGATATTAAGTTTACATTTTATCTGTTTTGTTGATGAGAGTGCTGTAAAAGTGATTAGAGATGTATTGCCATTCTGTAATGAATCTTTCATATAACTTTGGCATGAGCCTTCTAATTAGCATTGAACTTTTATAATACTGTCATGGGGTAGATGGGTAAACTGGGGGAGAGAAGTTTTTAACTAAAGGGACATTTTCTCTCATCTGGATGGGTCATCTTTATGACATCTTTATATCCTACAATTGGTATATTTTAAGAATTAAAATCTTGGGTAATTCATTTACTCATAGAAATTAGGGTTTTTTTTTCTTAGCACATTGTATTTATATGGTTTCTCAAGATTATAGAATACAACTTTAAAATATTAGTTAGCACAAATAATTTTAATCATGAAACTGTGGTACATGCTTATTTTCTCTTTATAGGCGAGATAAACTTTGGATATGCATGGAGTTCTGTGGAGGTGGCTCTTTACAGGATATTTATCATGGTAAGACCAAAGTTATATTTTATAGAGATTAAATAGAATTTCTTAATATAAGTAATGTACTGTATTAAAACATTAATGTTGTTTTGAGCAAAGTATGTTTGGATACATAAAGATATTTCAGATATATATGGATGCAAGGAGCACTTGCTTTGTAAGTTGGAAAATTATATGCAGTTGAATTATTAGCTAATTCTATAAAAGGAATGTTATATATAATTATATAACTTGAAATTTCAAACTCAGACTTATAGAAGACACGCAAAGGCCTTGATGGCTAATACTAAGCCAAAAGAATATCCAATTGATAAGTGAATAGATTAATGCAAAGATAGTCGATTTTGTTCTCATGTATTCAAGAAGCATCAATTGAATGTTGTCTTAGATGCTAGATAATGAGGAATTAAAAAAAATTAATAGAACATTTTTCATTGGGATTTCAATGGAGTAGTGTATGAGACTTTTAAAGTAAAGTGAACAATTTTTACTGTCTTTTTTTTCTGTTCTAGTTCTGTTAATGGGTTACTGTCACAAACTGTAGAGTAGCTTTTATACTTTTGCTGGAGGTGTGCTTTTTGATAAATGTAAAATAAAATTATGTCAGTAATTCATGATGTCAATTTTCCCAAGAAAATATTTTGAAAAAAATTTCTCAGTTTTTCATATAGAACTTGAACTAATATATCTAGTTTGGGGCCGCTTAAGTAATTTTTGGGGCTGATTGTAATAAAGGAAATGTAAAAAGGCTATTTGGATAGAATACTGATTTTGTTTCACTTCACTATATCTTGGTATCAAGTTATTAGCAAAGATTCCCATAATTGGACTTTGATTTTCAGCATAGTCTTTCCCAGTGAATTTCTTTACTCTAAAATGATGACTAGTGAAAAAGAGAAAACAATTGAAATATCTTCCATAGTGGATAGATGCACAAAGAGAGATATTTTTCAAATATTACAATATGATTAAGCTACTTATTGATGCAGGAAGGTGGCCATGATAAGTGAAAAGGGCAGGTTTCAGAACTGTATGTGTAATATGATTCCACTTATGCTTTTGTGTATGATGCGTACATATATTATATGAAATGTCTCTGCATAAAATTGTATAGTAATCTATAGGTCAAACTATAGGTAACAGAATAAGGAAGAGGCCTATACTTTCCAAACTTCTCTGTTGATTGAAATGTTTTATAGTGAACTTATATTAATTTTATAGCTATAAAGTTAAAAATTTGGGGGGAAAATATTGACTTTAAATGAGCCATAATACATGTAACACATCAATTTTTTAAAAGCTTTTTATAAAACTAGCTAAACCTTTGGCCCTGCTTTCTTTCTTATAATATTTAAGAAATAATATTGGTTAGTGAGGTATGAAATTATAACTAATTTCAGAGACTATGTCAGGTTTTTATTCATTATATAGACATTTATTGCACAACTTTTTCATGCTAGGCACTGTTCTGTACACAGGATACAATGAGTCAATCAGATTATTTGAAATCCTTCCCTCATGGAGCGTACATTTTAGAGTTATTTATTAAACGTTAAGCCTGTTGCTTAATGGAACTTGTAAAACAATGTCAGTTTTGAAAAACATGCTTTGCCTAATTTTATTAATGTTAATTTTCTTCTCTGACAGTAACGGGACCTCTGTCAGAATTGCAAATTGCATATGTTAGCCGAGAAACACTACAGGTAAATCCAATGCTAATCAAAAAGTTACATTCTTCATTAAAGTTAATGTTTAATTATTGTGCATTACCTGTTAAGTAAAGTAGGATTAAATATTCTAGTTTGGTAAACTCTTGAATATTAATACATTTTTAATTGTTTTTGTAATAAACCCAAGTTACATCTGCATATCAGTACTTTAAAGCCTCAGTGTGATAATTTGAACTCCTACGTTTTAGGTGCTGTGGATTTTATGTTTTTATATTCCTCTTAATACCAAGGAAAGGCTTGAAAATTAAGCATTCTTGTGGTAATTGAAACTCATTCTGATCCTAATTGCATAAATACTTTTTAAGTTATTTCAAACTATTTGTAGAGTTTAGTGAAAATTACTTATCTTAGGAGAATGAATGGTTCCAACTGAACTTTGCCTTTTTCATTTTCTTGATTCTTTTGTTTATTAAAATAAATCAGCAAAATAAATTGATTACCATAAGACTTTCTGTAATAAGGAAATAAAAAATGGAGAATACTACTCAGTGGATCATTTTAAATCCCAAAGAGCTCTGTAGTAAAATCTTGTTAATTTTTGTGTTTTGTTTTTTTGAAACTCCAGGGACTATACTATCTTCACAGTAAAGGAAAAATGCACAGAGATATAAAGGTACATACACATTATATGTTTAACCTATTGTCCCTCTCTTCATTTTTAAATACTCTGATCAAACTGTTGACCAAAATTGTCTGGATTTTTCTACTGGATGAATTTGTTATCTGAAATATGTTATTATAATAAAATTGAGTAATGCTTTTAAAGGTTTTATTACTTTTTTATAGCAACTTTATTGAGATACAATTCACCTACCATAAAATTCACCCTTTTGGAGTGTACAGTGTGGGTTAATGTGCAGTCTTCTATTATTCCCACCTCTGTTTGGGGCGGGAAGGGGTTTCCTGGTATTTTTCCCCCATAAGGTTATAATTACATGATTGATGGCACCCTGGACTAAAGAGGCGGCTTACTTTTGCTTGCTCATTTAAAAGTTGCAGAAAAGACAAAAATAAATAAGTAAAAGCCTGCAATGCCTTTTGGAGACAGTATTTCTACCTCCTTCAGAAGTTGGAGCTTATTGAAAATAAAGTGGTTCATATCTTTGAACTTTGGTCAAGAAGCAAAAGTAGCTAAAATGCTGCTAAGTCATTGTAATGGAAGAAGCTCAGGCTGTTTTCTTTCCATATAGTGAAAAACCCAGTTCTTCCCTACTGTGTCTTTCCTGTGAGTCTCCTTTACTACTGACGCAGAACACTTCACTTCTGGCACGTCTGGTCACCAAACGTGGCGGGTTTTTCCCACAACAAGCAATTCTCTGACACCAGCGGGATGCCCTACAATCTAACCCAGTTCGAATTGAGTTAGATCCCACAGGTTAAAGGGCTCAGTCCCTGTGACTTCCCCTCACCCCTTTGCAGCCCCCCTCCCCAACACACACACACTTCAGATGCTAGTCCCAAGCTCAGGTTATCTGTGCTTCTGACCAACCAGCTATGGATGGAGTGGAGATTCCAAAGACCCCATCCTTGGGTTCTGTGAATTTGCTAAAGCAGCTCACAGAACTCAGAGACATAATTAATGTTTACTAGTTTATTAAAGGATATGATAGCCCTGGCCAGTGTTAAAGCATCGGCCCATGCACCAAAGGGTCATGGGTTCGGTTCCCAGTCAAGGGCACGTACTTGGGTTACAGGTTTGATTCCCAGCCCCAGTTGGGGCACATGCAGGAAGCAACCGATTGATGTGTCTCACATCGATGTCTCTCTCTCTCTCTCTCTCTCTCTCTCTCTCTCTCTCTCTCTCTCTCTCTCCCCCCCCCCCCCTTTTCTTCCCTCCCTTGCCTTCCACTCTCTCTAAAAAAATCAATTGAAAAAATATTCTTGGGTGAGGATTAGCAACAAAAAAAGGATACTGATGAATATCCACATGGAGGGGATGCATAGGGCAAGGTCTGTGGGAAGAGTTGCACAGAGCTCCCATGCGCTCTCCAGGGTACACCACTATCTCAGCACCTACACGTGTTCACCAACTCAGGAGCTCTCCACACTCTGTACTACTGGGATTTTCATGGAGGCTTCCTCACATCGGCATGATGGATCAGTCACTCCATTTTTAGCACTGCTCCCTTCTTCAGGGGATGGGGGTAAGGCTGAAAATTCCAAGCTTGCAATCATGGCTTGGTCTTCCAGTGGCCAGTCCTTACCCAGGAGCCGTCCAGGAGTTCACCTAGAGTTGCTTCATTAGAACCAGACATGCCTGTCACCCAGGAAATTATGCAAAGTTTCAGGTGTGCTGTGTCAAGAACTGGGGCAAAAGACCAAATATTGGAACAGAAGATGGTCCTAGTGCTCTTATCACTGAAGAAATTATAAGGGTTTCAGGAGCTTTGTGCCAGGAACTGGAGGCACAGACCAATATATATTTTCTATTATTCACAATCATGGAGACAGGTGACATTTTAATTCTGTGGACCAGTGGCTAATTTTATCCTAAATGGTCCTAAACTCCGGACAGACATATTAAGGATAGACAGCCTCACATACTAAGCAGCAAGGTTCAGTCTTACACACCAGCACTGGTTCAACTGATGGATTGGAGGTTTGTTTTTATTTTTTAACAGGATATAGCAATTAAGTCCAAAATATAATACAAGGAATTGAAAATGGCAGGATAAGGTGACATTTAAGTGCCGTGACAGTGTTTGATAAGTAAGAAAATAACATTTAGATGAAAAGTAATATCACTCTCATAGTTACATTCATATTATGTTAATAGCAGCTTTTGCAAGGCAGAACATTTTGTAAGCATAAGCAAATTGCTTAAAAAGTAGATAGTAAATTTTTCTGTGACTATAATAATTTAACATTTTAATTGGGCATACTTTACATGTTAAGTATTTCCAGGTCTAAGGCTGCCACTTGTGATTATTTTAATAAATACAGTTATTATATGCACTGTCTGATAAAATGTTTCTTACTTTAACTAAAATGTTCTCACTTTGAAGGGCGCTAACATTCTGTTAACGGATAATGGTCATGTGAAATTGGGTAAGTAAATTAAAATTTTGTCATGCAAATTTATTCCAAAACCAGTAAATTTCTATTTTCCTGTTTAGATTTTCTTGGCCCTCTCTCATCAAAATTTCTTTATCTTGACTTCTGTTGTCATTTGATTCATGTGGGGATATATGGGAATCTACTTGACTATAGTATACACTGACTACTTTGTAATATTTTAATGCTTATCCATTAAAGTTAAAATTTTTAATGTGGTATTTGAGAATATCTCCTATTTCTGCAAAATTAGTTTAATGGAAATAATTAAAGACTGTTTAATGAAAATAATAATTAAAGATTCTTCTCATGTTGCCTTAAATATTACTTACTTTCAGTTTTCTTTTCTAAATGTTTCTCATTTTTTTAATAGCTGATTTCGGAGTATCTGCACAGATAACAGCTACAATTGCCAAACGGAAGTCTTTCATTGGTACACCATATTGGTAATTGTATTTTAATTGATAATTAACTTTTTGGTGTGTGTTTTTTTTTTCATTATTAAATTCAGCATTTAAAAAAATAGACAAAATAATAAAAAACTTTAGGATGAAAACATTAAGAAGTTCATTAACAAGTTAAGTAATTTAGGCATATATGCTTGTGGCTGGATTACATAGCCAAAGAATATTCTACCATGTTAATTTCACTAAGGTGAAAAAGACTAACGATTAATGTCTTCAGAGAACTTTTCCCAATTCTCCTGGAAAAACTCAACCCTTGCTTCTACCTTTCATGTATTTTCACAGATGTTTTTGTATGTCTTTATTCACCCCCATTTCCAGTCCATATTTTGACTAGTCTTCCAACATTACATTATTCACAGTACCACTTTGCTCAAGACTTTTTGACATATCTTGCTTGCACACAAGATCAAATACATATTTCTTGGCATGTAGAGTGTTCCACAGCGTGGCCTCTGTCTGCCTCATTAATCTTAAATGCTTCCAGTTGCCTTCACAAGATCCCTCTTTCTAGCCATATTTGTCTGCTAGTATTCTTTAAGCATTCCATAAAAATTTTTTATTAATTTATTCAATAAATGGTTTTGACCACTTACTATGTGCTAGATATGCTGTTAGTCATTGTGAATATAGTGGTGGTAGACGCGTGTAGAGCTTTCTTGTTCACACCATTACTTTGAAGTAACAGCACCTCAGAATTCTTTTTTTTAAATTTTTTTTTTATTTTCTTGTCTAAAGTATTATAACTAGTTGTACATATGTCTCCCCCCCCCCCCCCCATTCAGCTTAAGTGCCAGGACTCCCCTGATGCCCTTGTAGTCATCAGCAGTGGGATGGCACTAACCTGGGTGACTCATTTCCAGTTTTAGGAGATGATACATACCATTTTTTGTATTAATTTTTCTTTTTATCAAGTGGATGTATATTTTAGAAGTTAAGTAGTCCTAAATGGCTTATAAAAACTTACCTAGTTGTGTATTTTGCCATCTCTAGTTTTATCTGGTGTTGTGTATAAGACCCTGTTATGATAGGTAAAGGTTTTAGCTCTCTTCATTCATCATCATCCAGCCTTATCCTTGCAGTGTACTTGCTGAGTCAATTATTATATTAGTACATGTGCTACCTTGAAATGTTTTTTCTATATTGAATAATTTATTCATTTTTAATTTGCTTAGTTTTTTGTTTTTGTTTTTAATCCCTGGCTGAGAGTTCTATACCTTTTCACATTTTGCAGTCTGTAACATGCGTCTATACAATTTTCCACATCATAAAGCCTATCAAATTATTTGTCCTGATTTTTGTTTGTTTTTGCTTTGTTTTAATTTGCCTTTTTTCTTATAATAATCTTTTTTGGAGTCCTCTTCCTTCCTATTCCAATCTAAATTGCTCATTTTCTAGGTCTTTTTGCATAGCTTTTCCCTAGGAATTTTTCATCATCAGCTTGGAAATTCATTTCCTAGAATCCAAATCTTCCTCTTTCATTAATTACTTTCTCACACATGTTTTACTAAATTCTCGAGAAATTTGAAGAGTAAAATTTTTGAGACTGCATGTCTGGTTTCATACCTGACTTACAATTTGGGTGAATTTAGAATTTTATATTAAAATTTTTGAAATATTGCCCTAGAGCAGTGATGGCGAACCTTTTGAGCTCGGTGTGTCAGCATTTTGAAAAACCCTAACTTAACTCTGGTGCCGTGTCACATATAGAAATTTTTTGATATTTATTTTATATATTTAAATGCCATTTAACAAAGAAAAATCAACCAAAAAAATGAGTTCACGTGTCACCTCTGACACGCGTGTCATAGGTTCGCCATCACTGCTCTAGAGGCTTCTTTTCTCTGATGCTACGGAAGTGTGATGCCATGATGATGCATGGTCGTTGAATGTAACCCATCCCCCCTAGAATCATTTCTAGTGGTTTGATATTCCATGATGATGTATCGCAGAATGTTTTGGGTTTTCTGTCATTTTTACTTTTATTTGTTGTACTTGGCATTTCAAGAGACAATGTTGTACAACATTATTTGTTGTACTTTTTAATCAAGAGATTCATGTCTTTCAGTTCTGGGAAATATTCTTGTATTACTTCTTTGACAATTTCTTTGTTATCCTTTATCCTGCTTTCTCTTTCTGGATCTCATTCGTTATATGTTGGGCCACTTAGACTAATCCATTAACTTTCTTAAATTTTCTACTACTTTAAAAAATATTCTTCGTTCTACTTTCTGTAAGATTTTCCCAACTTCTTAGTTTCATCCTTTCATGATGGAGGTTTCCTCAGATGACTCGTAATCCTTACCTTCTGATTCACATTGAAGAGCAAGGCACTAAAAACTGGTGCATAGCTCTGTATGCGTGGAGGCACCATGTAAGCCTGGTGTTTACTGAGAACTAAGCAAGTGCAGGAAACGGGGGGTGGGGGGACCACATTGTTCTGGGGAACCTTTTTATGCCAGGAGCCATTTGGATATTTATACAGTAGCATCATTTGCAGGCCATCTGAAATTAGCCTGGTCTATTTGGTCAAACATTTAATTAACTCAGCCCTATTGCTTGGCAGGGCCAGACCAAATGATTTCACGGGCGTTATACTGCCCGCGGGGCTGGCCATTCCCCACCACTGCTCTAGACACAGACTTCAGCTGCCCCCAGCCCCTGCCCTTTGTTTCTGCTTCCTTTGAGTCTGAAGCCTCTCCTCCATTTCTCTTGGTCTTCATCCAGTTGGAATGGGGAAGAAGCAACTGCTGAGCCCTGAAGGCGGAAAGGAGGAATCTGGGAGACTAACTTCATTATTTAGACTTCATATTTTCTAATACATATGTTTCCAACCTCAACCCAACTTTTATAAGTTTATAACCCTAATGTGACAGCCTTTCTGGGATTCTCAGGGGCTAAGAACCAGCCAGCTGTAATGTAGCCATCAACAAAGTAATAACTGACATACTTTAATGTTCACTTTTCTGATAATAATTTGAATATTCATAGAGCTACTTTAAGATTAACAAGATTTTAAGACCAAGTGTTTGAAAGTTAGTGGGGGATGTTTTTGTTTTTTTTCTAATTTCACTGACTTACTTAACTTTCCTGAAATCTTACCAGGAAGACAAATGTGCATGTGAAGGCTACTTATTTAAGTCACTATTTTGATATGAAAGAGTTGAGATATCTATCTCAGTTATTTTCAAAACTGTTGTTTAGAATTTGAAAATTTTAATATTTGAAAATGAATGTAATTATTTAAATTAGTCAAATATAAATTTATACAGATATAATTAGAATCAGACTATAAGAAAATTAAAAGAAACAAAAAATAATAGTTTGGACAGCTTGTCTATGGATAAATATCTTTTTTAAACTAGACACTTTGATAACTTACCCATCATTATAATAAAACTGAAAAAAAATGACAAGTAAATATGAGTTAAATGCTAAATGAAGATTTTTGGTGCCCCAGTAAATAGTTTTGGTCAAGTGAAAACAGTCAGAGGCCAGATTTTAGTTTATTGATGTAAGGAGGTAAAACTAAAAATTATAGAATATTGCAAGATGTTATTTCTCTGGAATTTTGCTGTGGGGAGGGAGAGAGATTTGGGTATGGACAATTTTGGGATATGTTGTTCTGTCGTAGTTGTAAAGTTTTACAAACCTTAATAGGAAGTAGTGTAGCAAAGTAACAAATCATCAGTAGGGGCTTGGGATGGAGGATCTTAGGAGATGATGAGATCTGAGGAGAAATGGGCCTTTTAAATACTGCATACTTATTTTTCAGATATCAAGGCATGTAGATCTCAACTTAGTGATGGTTCCATGTGCCTCTGGTGGAATATGAAGGAAAATACAATAAACAAAAGGTTTTCTTTTCTGGAATATTCCTTCAGGATGGCTCCAGAAGTCGCAGCCGTTGAGAGGAAAGGGGGGTACAATCAGCTCTGTGACCTCTGGGCAGTGGGGATCACCGCCATAGAACTTGCTGAGCTCCAGCCTCCTATGTTTGACTTACACCCAATGAGGTCAGTGCCCAACACCCAAACATAGTTGAAGAATCGTATGTTTTAACTAAGGGGTTCTCCACTCCAGTATTATTTATTATGTCATGGGCAAATAATATGCTTATTCTTGCTTTACCTTATTTGTGAATAAGAGTAATAGAATTTACATTATATATTAATATGAAATCTTAAAATACTGTGTAATGATTTGTTGTTGATTTTTCAGAGCATTATTTCTAATGACAAAAAGCAATTTTCAGCCTCCTAAACTAAAGGATAAAGTGAAGTGGTGAGTATCTTTGTGTTATTTACTTTTATAGTCATGAGGAAAAAATAATTGAAATTTAAAACTCTCATTTTAAAATTTCGTAGGTCAAATAGTTTTCATCATTTTGTGAAAATGGCACTTACCAAAAATCCAAAAAAAAGACCAACAGCTGAAAAGTTATTACAGGTATTACCTTTGCCCCAAACTATGTCTTGTTTTCAAAAAATAAAATGTCATTCAATCAAGTTTCTAATAAGTGTTCTGTACTATATTATTTTATTTTTATAGCATCCGTTTGTCACACAACCTTTGACACGGTCTTTGGCAATTGAACTATTGGATAAAGTGAATAATCCTGATCATTCCACTTACCATGATTTTGATGATGATGATCCTGAGGTAGGAACTGTTTTTACTAACTAGTATATACAACAGATATATATATAGACAGATGTTTAATTCTCAAGTAATCTTCTTATTGAGTAGATTGCACAGTGCTGGCCTTTTTCATGTAACTTTATGACACAGAGCAAGTATCTTTTCTATGCCATGGTGAATGTCAATATTCCTTTTTAAGTTTGGATGGGCTTCCAACATTTTACCCTTTGCATTTTCGATGCATGAACTTATCTCAATCTCTGTAATATAAAGTTTTAGCTGGTGCCACTTCTTCTGGAGTATCTTCATCCTTCTTGTCACAACTACTTGCTTCATGCATGTCAATAAGTTCACCTGAACTTAGTTTACTAAATTCCTTTGGCTGTATGTCTGCTGTTTCTCGAACAGTGGCCATGTCAACATTCTCACAGTCAGCTATTTTCTTTCATAACTCCATTTATTCAAATTTCATTCCCAACGTTACCCAAGATTAGCACTTTTTATTTCTTTGCAGCACTTTTATCTTTGTTAGCTAACTCCTGCTTTGAATTACCAATTTTTGTGAAAATGTCACAAGTGTATTATCACTGGGAGACAAGGAGGCCACACAGTTCACACTTTGCTGTTGTGCGTGAACTGAATAACAGTCACTCGCTCAGTGACCACCAGACAGACTTTAAAAGAAGTGATGTGAATTCGCAGTCAGGAGAACTCATCGTAACTCCACCCACCCCCCAGAATACTCCTCTGACAGTGGCTATAACATAGAAAGATTTTAAAAGTAAAAGGCAAGAAGATAGAGGGCTGCCCGTGTAAGAAAAAACATAAAGGGAGAAAATTGTGTTTCCTAAGTAATAGGACCATAAGTCATTGACGCTTTTAGCATTATTTCATTTCATTTATCTCATCCTTTTTGAAATAGAAGTTGAGGCAGATTTTTTTAATTACAGTTTTTCTCTGCAACGGGGAAAGCTAGCTGCAGCTTTTGGATAGCTATTGCATTATTGAAACATTGAATTTTTAATATTTATTTATATTTAACTCAGAGAACAGTTACTGGGAACCTGCTGTCGATAAAATATATTCCTAATCTTGAGACTATATCCCAATGATGACTGAAGAGTTCCATTTTGTGGTTGCCATTTTTTGTTTTTTGTTTTAATATTGACAAAGTGGTTGTATGTCATTCCCATTTTTACATAAAATGAAGTGTTTTGTTTTTATTTGATTAATTTTGTGGACCAGATTGTGATTTGCTTATCTAATGCCACGTCATTGATTTTGTGGTTTCCTAGCCTCTTGTTGCTGTGCCACATAGGATTCATTCAACAAGTAGAAACGTGAGAGAAGAAAAAACACGCTCGGAGATCAACTGTGAGTATGTACTATACACAGTTCATAATTTAGCATTAACAAATAAGATTTCAAGTCGTAGTTTTGTTATAATACTTTTGCTTTATTTTCTTCCAAGTAGTTCTTTTCATTAAACCTTTTAAAGGTAAGAGTTTTTTAAGGCAGTAAGGATTTTATTCTCCTCGTTTCTAAGGAATTTTTGGCGGCGGCGGGGGAGGTGTGTTGTTACTGCTTGGGAAGAGGAATAAAGTTCCTAGAATAGGCGGAGTGAATAAATCAAGTCAGTGTTCTTAAACTTCAGTGTGTGTATAAGTCACCTAGAGAGCTTGTCAAAATGCAGTTTCTGATTCAGCAGATCTGGGATTCTTTACTTCTAACAACCTTCCAGGTTATGTAGATGCTGAGAGTGCAAGGGCCACGCTGTGAGTGTCAAGAAGAGGTAGAAATCTGCAAGCTGGCTTAATATCTGAAGAACCTGAGAGCCTTTAAAAATGGATTCTCAGCCCGGCCGGAATTGAGTACTATTGAAAATCTAACTTAAAGTACTTTTTATCTTGTTATCTGATTCTATTTAAAAATTGTATTTTCAGGCCTTTTTTGCAAAGTACAGTTATTTCTGGATCATTTTTTACTAATTTATGTCAGTGAGTTCTCAGCTCCTAACTGCAGAGGCATCTATATGCTATTTGAAACTAGAGACCTATACCCCAGTTTTTCTGCTACTGCCCTCCTCTTGGAAAATGCCTACTAATAACAGATTAAGCTTTAACTGCTTAGACTTTCTTGGACTTTTTCTGGCTATATATTCTTTATTTAAATCTTTGGATTGTGATTAAGGTATGGTAGATAGTAAAATGTGTTTTGCCATGAAGTAACTTTTAAAATTAGTATATCATTAAGAATCAAGAAACAGATCATGGCTTTACTTTTTCTTTTTTAGTTGGCCAAGTAAAATTTGATCCACCCTTAAGGAAAGAGACAGAACCACATCATGAACTTGTAAGTAGTGTAGTCTTGGAATGTTAACACTAAAAGTAAATATTTTAATTAGTCTTTATGATTCATTGGAACTGACTTAAAAGCTAGTTATTAAAAGCATTTGGGGAAATAAAAAGGTAAGTAATTCTGAAATTCAGAATAAATAAATCTGTGTTGCTGAGATTGAATATTTTCAAAATTATTTAGGAGAAACTTACTAGTTTTACCAGTCTCTAATTCAGTGTTTTTAATGCTGGCTCTTTAATTTTTTTCATTTTTATTTTTCAGTTTTTGAGTAGTTTTTGTGTATGTATTTATTAGGATAAATGCTGTAGTATTAAACTAAAATGTTTGATCAATAAAAGCCCATCTTCTCACTAAATTTTTGGACAATCTTTGGAGTAAGCCAGTTTTTTAAACATCAGAGTAAAGTCTTATCTGTTTGGAGTACTAAAGCTCAGGAGAGAGTAGGCATACATAATAGATCAAGTTTGTCATTCATTTAAGGCTTGCTAACTGTATGAACTTTCTTTTCATGATTCTTTTTATTAATATTTTATACTCCTTTCCCGATACATGATATATTAGATGTAGTCTTAGAAACAAAATGCTTTGCAAGTATTTGAGATGTTACTATTCTGTGGAAGAATAAAACATGAGACTTAAAAAATAAACAGAATTAATCCTAATTAATTACCAGAGCTCCAAATTGTGTTATTTTTTGCTTTCTTTTTAATAATGAGAAGAAAGTAACTGTTAATAAGTACTAAGGGTTGAAGTGGGAACTTCCTTCTTAAATTTAATTTAACCCACTTGACTAAAGGCACACAGAGAGAATATTTAACCTTTTAACTTTTGGAGTTATTTTAATTCAGTATACCAGCATGGAGGAAAGGAATGTTAAAGAAAAATTCTTAAAATGATCATATTAAATACTGAAGCCTGACATTTATGTAGAAGATGGAAAAGGTTAAAAAGAAAAAGTAGTCCTGATGTTTATTAATGCTAATTGTATTTTGTTAAGGCAGTTTATTTGCTCTTTCTTTTTTTAAGTGGGCATTGCATGTATTTAAATTCTGCACTAATTTAGTAACTGCATTATAGAGTAAATTCGTTGCAGCGTTGCTTTTTTAGAAACCTTTTAATATGATTTAACTTTGCATTTGCCTTAACAAAATTATGTTAGCAGGACTTACTTCAGTTAAGAGTTTCCCTTTGTGAATTTGTGGCTTTTAGTGTAAGTGTAAATAACTTGGGTTTCTTGGTCTCTGCTAAACAGCCCGACAGTGATGGTTTTTTCGACAGTTCAGAAGAAATATACTACACTGCAAGATCTAATCTGGTATTTCTCATCTTCTGATTTTCTTTGTCAGCATTGTTTTAGTCTTAATTGTTTGTTTTATTTTTTTCCCCAAACATTTTGTCCAATTTTAATGAACCAGTTAAAGCATTGTTTTATAAGATCCTGCTACATTAAGGATTATAGCAAGTTTTTCCATAACAAGTTAAATAAATATATCTACTCAAATATATTTTAATGTTACAATAAAAAATAAAAATATTTTTCTTTTTTATGAAAAACATTTAATTTTCTGACTCAAATATGAGTTTTAATTATAGTTCCCTATAAAAATGTCCAGTTTTAATGAACTAGGAACCATCCATATATATATACATATATATTCATTTATATATGTAAAACTATTTATATATTGCATATATTATGTATATATATCATTTTAAGAAGTAATTTACCCCTTATTAACAAAGAAATTAGTCTTAGATGAAATTATAGCTCGGTCAGTAGCATTATTATAATATCCATTTTTCTCAGACCAAAATTGGGATTATAAAGCCCCCTTGAAGTTATAAATATTAAGACTATCTTACCATTAGGGAAGAAAAGATGGGACATTAGCCCTGGTGAATATTAAATAAATAATACTTTTAATAGTTGCTATTACATAAATAGTTCTTTTCTACTTCTGTAGCTGGCCAGGTTGCCTTTATGCTTACTTCTAGATTTCAATTTTCTACACTTTTCTGAATTTTCCTTATCTTTTCTTCCTCTCTGCTTCAGTAACATCTCTTTCAATTCTGGTTGATTTAAATGATTCTTAACATAAATTCTTAAATTTGTGCCCTCTAATATTTGTAGAACATAAAAGAGATTTTAGAAATAATATCTAGCCCTAGCTAGTTTGGCTTAGTGGATAGAGCGTTGGCCTGCAGACCAAAGAGTCCCGGGTTCAATCCCAGTCAAGGGCACGTACCTTGGTTGCAGGCTCCTCCTTGGCCCAGGCCGTGGTCAGGGCTCATGTAGGAGGCAACCAATCGATGTGTTTCTCTCACATCGATATTTCCCTCTCTTTCCCTCTCTCTTCCACTTTCTCGAAAAATCAATGGGAAAATATCCTCGGGTGAGGATTAGAAAAAAAGAAAAAAGAAATAATTTCTCTTAGGGCAGTTGCTATCTCGATGGACAAAAAATACTTGTACATAGAAACTGTTCGCTATGCAACAAAATACGTAGTGGATTGCCAAAACTTTGCCAGGTGGTGACTTGTGGTGACTGTTGATGAGGAGAGGCTAACATATCATTGGTATAATAGACATCAGAGAATAAGAAAAGCCTTTGGGTTAACGTGGTTTGTTTGGCTTCTGGGAGGGACTAAGATTGATTTCAGTATTGTGTAGGAGCCATTATAGGTTCTTCAGGAAGAAAGTGGATATATAAATACCTCCTGTGTTTCATGGGAATTAATGTAGAGACAGTCATTGGCACAGTTTTGAGAGATGGCAGATAGAGAGCTGAAATTATGGAGTGGTCATACTACTGCTGTAATTATGGGATTAGCTCTAAGGAGGGAGATTGAAGTAATGAAAGAGGAAATGATAGATGGAACCATGAGATGTCATGTGTTCACCAGGTAAGGTCTCATTAAATAAAAAGGGTAAAAAACTGCTATGGGTGATGTTTGTGTTTTGCACTCAAAGGTAGAGCCAACATTGGAGGTAGGGAAGAAGCAGTTGAAAAGCAAGAAGAGTCAGTAGATGCACTGTCACAAAAGAAAGAAAGATACATCAGATGGCCCAGAGAGGCCAGAAAGTGAGAGGACTGAGAATTAACCGTCCAAGGATGCAAATGAGGAGGAGTGTCTGAGGAAAACACTATCAGTGATTTCTGGATTGAAAATTTCTCTAGAATTGGCCATCACTAGGCTAGAATAACAGAAATTTGTTGTGGAAATAAAAGACTACAGAACCCAAAGTTTAGATTAATATTCTCCAGATAAGACAATTACAGCACCAGAAACACAGTACCTTGGAGTTACAATATTCTTTTCTGTACCTGTGCTGAACTAGCCCCTCTCCAAATAATCAGGAATTTCTTGTGAGCGAGGGAACAGTTGATGGGATCTTGTGACAGAGAGGGGCATGAGGGACAGATAAATTGTAGTAGGAGAGTGAATGAAATATTTGTCAGATCCTGACATTTATAAAATCAACCTTTAAAAAGCTCACTTCTAATGATAATAAAAGCTAACACTTATCTAAGAAGTTTTTATATACCAGGCATTATTCTAAACACTTTAAATACATTAACTTATGTCTTACAAATGAGAGAATTTAAGGTGCAAAGAAGCTGAAATTGGTCTTGCCACTTAGCTAAATAATAGCAGAGCTGGGATTTGACCTACGCAGCCTGGCTCAGGAATTCATACCTAAACCACTATGTAGGTAGTGTATTGCAACCATGACCACTATTGGTCTCCAAAACATTTTCATCTTCCCAAACTACATCTCCTTACCCATTAAATAACAACTTTCATCCTCCCTTCCCCCAAGGCCCTGGCAGCCACCATTCTATTTTCTGTCTCTCTGGGTTTTTTTTGTACTCCAGTGACCTTATATAATTGGAATCATGCAACATTTGTCCCTTTGGGACTGGCTCCCTTTACTTAGTAAAATGTCATCACATCAAGATTCATCCATGTTGTAGCATTTGTCAGAATTTCCTTTTTTAAGACTGAATAATATTCCATTATACCTATAGACCACATTTTGTTTATTCATTGAGCCATCAGTGGGCATGAGTTGCTTTCATCTTTTGATTATTGTGAATAATGCTCCTATGAACATGAGTGTACAAATATCTGTCAAATCTGTGCTTTCCTAGGTATATAACTAGGTAAGGACATGCTAGATCACATGATAATTTTAGATTTAATATGTTTGGGGAACAGCCATACAGTTTTCCATAGCAGCCGCATCATTTTACAGTTCCCACCAGCAGAGCACAAGGGTTCCAATTTCTCTGCTTCCATCAACACTTGTTCTTTTGTGGCAGGGGAAAGGGAGGTTTTTGTTTTTTAAATAATAGCCATCCTAATGGGTTTGACCTGTCCTTAGTTATTTCAGTCCCCTAATTTCATCAGTCCTAAAATTTTGGCGCTGGGAACAAGATTTTGTGTCTTACAAATACTTGTTGCTGGAGCCTAGAAACCACATGAACCCAGAATGTTTGGCTGTCATCTTAGTGGGCAGTTGCCACCAAGATTACAGCCCTAAGTTCTTTAGGGCCCAGAAAAAACATTTACTCCCTTATAAAAAGCCTGCTGCCTAAAAGTTTGGTGTCATCAGTGCTTTCTGGTTGTTTTAAGTGCTAAGTATATTTATTTATTATTTTGTAAATGAATTTTGAATGTAACACCTCAATTTTCATTACTACAATAAAATGATTTTTTTAAATTAGGCAATTATAATACATGGAACCAGAAGAATAGAGCTTAATTTTTAGGATTGTTAGTGAATAAAAAAAAGTTCTTTAAATTTTAAAAGATGCCCAAGTTAAAAATAAAAACCTCATTTTAATGTGATAATTAAATAGTAACAGTTTTGCCCATAACCATACAGATGTGTTTACCTGATCTGTCTTTAAATTAGAAGATATTGTTACACATCTGTTCAGCTGATGCTAATTTTTTAAAATTTGCCTGATTTTTACTGTATATTTTGGCCCATTATGATGAAAAGTACATCTAAAGTTAATTGTAGGTGAAACACTATGTTAATTGCTATGGAGGAACATGAATAGTTATATAATTATTACTCTGAAGAAACTTACAGTCTACCTGCGGGAATAAGAATAAAATATGTAAGTTACAATTAAAAACATGTTAGGAAGATAATAACCAATTGATTGTTATCAATAATTATAATAAAAGTACTTTAAAATTATTACTGAATTAGGTCAAAACTGAATACAGTCTATAAAGTTATATTCTATAAAAGAAATAGTAAATGCCAACTTTACTTATTTTTAAATCTGTTAAATTATTATTTATTATAAAATGTATGTTGTGTGGTCACTTTTCTTATCTAATGTTGAAGACAATTTCTAAGGAGACCTCATTTCATAATTGGCTCAATGGTAGCACATTCTCTAGAATGTCAAACCTAACCTAGTATTCATTTCCAAGCTTGCTGTACAGAAGTCATGTTATTCAGTTTGAGCTTCCTTAAGTCTTCTGCTTTTATTAGAATACTGACTGCTTGATCAGTATTATGACTCCACTTGCTTTTCTGACTTTTTAAGAAATAAAAGCTTTTTGAATTATCCAGGATTCAATCCCTTTTTACTCCTGTAAATTATCTACCACATTAAAAGGTATCTAACGGTTTTATTTGTTCCACAAAACTTTATGATAAAAAAGTTTTCCTCTTCTGTGTTCTTTTTTCTTGGGTAAAATAAATTGGTGAAGTACTTTCTCTGTGTGTTTTTGTAGCCAACTGTGTCAATTCTATTAACTTCCTGCTGTTTTCTCGTTAGGTATTTAGACTGTAATCTCGGGTGGGGGGGGTAATAAAAAATCAATATCTTCTTGATCATATATTTTGTTTTTCCAGTGTTCACGTCGCATCCTTTTATTCTTTTTCATTTTTTTCTGGCACCATATTTTCTTAGAGACTTTATCCTACGTTTAGAAATACAACTCCATTCATTAAAACGAACCATGGTAATTAAGACTTTGTGGCTCAGAAAGATATTTTAATTGAGCTGGGTAGACCATCTTAAATTTTTGTTGGGTTGAATCTGTACTAGGCTATTGCATGTTTTCAGTCCATGTTGTTGACCTTGACTATGTTGTTAAGTATTGTCATTCACTAATAAGTTGATGCCTGATTTATGCAACTAATGTTTTTATGTCTGTCCTAACATGTTCAAATGTATTCTTATTTAGCCCATGTTTTACTCATCTAGGGTATATTTTGAGTGCTTTTCCAAGAATAATTTTGGTAGCATTTTCTGTTACAGAATAGCTTTCAAGTCCTTTTAAAAAGGGTTGTAGATCAGTTTTTCTTAGACTGCTCTAAAGATACATAAATAATTACTAACTTTGCCCAGGTTTCACGTTTTTTTTCTTTTCTTTCTATTTCTTTTCATTTTTCTTGTCTGATTTACTATCTGTATTCTTGCTATTTATAATAGGTGCTTGGTAAATAATAGCTGAATTAAAGAGGATTAGATAATTAATAGAAGGACTTAGTGTAATTTTTTTACTTGATGACATGGCCAGTACATTGTTTATATTCCATGTTTGCTAAAACGTAACAGAACTTGATTTACAGAGAAGGAATTTATAAAGAACCAAGCCCCTTTCAATCTTAGCTCTCCTGGGAGGGCTTCACGTATGGCCCGGGGAATCACCAGACTTGGATCTGTCTGCAGAGGGTGTTAGTTGTTTTTAAACTCTTCTCTTACCTTCTTAAGTACACTGATGGTCTCAGTTTATTTTTTCCCCAGTCATTGTCATCAACCTGGTAGTTGTCACGTCTGCATTTAAGGAACAGAAGTATATGCTTTGGGAAGCTGTCATTTGATTAAAGGTTTAAGAGATTATTGGCTAAAGATATTGCTGGTCTGTAGAGGGCCCAGTTATCTACAGCTGAAGAAAACAAACTTGAATTGGAAAGTAAATTCATTGAGATAGTACTTCTCTTTACTGATTATCAACATTTAAAAGTTCCGTATAAAGTCATGACCAATTAAATTGTTCAGCATAATAATGTGTGATTGTCTCATAATAACAGTGATTTTATTCTATTAAGATCTATCATTAATTAGAGAATAGGTATCCCTTTTCATTAGAATTTCATGTGATACCAGTGTGACAGTTGACTAATCTTTTTTGTTTATGATATATTATCTTTTCTCTCACTAGTAAGAATATTTATTATGCATGGAAGAACACAAATATTGAAGACAAAATTAGATATTTATTTTCATCAGATATTATTTTGACAGGTCTTGTAATACTTAAATGTTAAGGTACTTTTCATTTAAATGTAATGTATTGCTTAGAATCCTCTCAGGATTCTAGGCTTAGCAGTATTTGGACCTAGAATTACTTTAATGTATATATTAACTAGAGGCCCAATGCACGAATTTGTGCAAGGGGGCTCGGCCCTTGCAGCCCTGACTTTGTCCAGAAGGACTCCGGTCTAATTAGCATATTACACTTATATTATTATAGATGAGGCTGAAGTGTTAGTTATGTGTTTATAGGAAAATAAACAAACAGCATCTGAACAAGCATTTACTTAGCGCCTCGTTAATATGTGCCAGTTGTTATGCTAGACCTTGGGCTGTAGGGAAGAAAGATGGATTTAACAATTTCCCTTTGTTTGAGGAGCTCACAGCCTGGCAACTATTTTTATAGACTTGTAATAAATTAATTAAAATGCAGAGTAATTGCTAGAGAAGAACTATGTATTAAGTGCATCAGAGACTTGGAGAAGGTTGCAGCTATCTTACTTGACAGTCTTGGAAGGCTGCTTACAGCACTCTTAAGTATATTATATTCTAGTAAAAAAAATTCACTTGAAATGTTAAATATTCCCCCTTTATTATTAAAATAGTGCTTGAGATACATAGGCTTTAAGAAGTAGGGGAGAAAAGGAGACTCTGCTTTCCATTATTGTTGGAAAGCATTTTTTTTTTTTGGTCTCAAGGTGTTTGTGTTGAGCACATATATATTGTTTGTACCTTTAAATTTCAATTCTGAATTCTACAACATGCAGCATTTAGTGAGAATGTTTAAATAGCTGATGAACTGCCTTAATGATATTGAAGTTTTGCTACTTACACTTAACTCTTTAAAATATGTTAAAAGCCCTAACATACAATTTATAATCTTTTGCAAATCCATATATATATATATTTTTACTTTAAAAGAATACCCTATTTTATTTCTTTAAAAAATTATTACCTGCATAAAGCAGTAGTAGCAATGTGTGAATAGACATAATTATTGCAGCTCGTACAGACCATGATTTTTGTTGCTTGCTCCCTTCTGTAATCATTTTTGCTTCATTAGAGCTTGAGAATAAAGACTTTATTTGAACTTTTTCTAAAAGCTGACTTTACCAATGTTAATTACAATAGCAATATCCTTAAATGAAACTTGCATATATTATTTAAATGAGTTCCCAGAAAAATATTGAACTTACCTTTTATTGTTGCAAGTCCTACCATGCCTTCTTTTTAAGAACATACAGCAATACAGATTTATTTGAAGTTTGGGGTTTCTGTTTTAAAACTAATGTATATTATGTATAGTGATTTGTAAGATACTACTGTTTTACTAAATATTTTGTTTTATACTATTAGGATCTACAACTAGAATATGGACAAGGACACCAAGGTAGTTACTTTTTAGGTGCAAACAAGTAAGTAAAGTTCTTTTAAAATTAAATTTAAACAGGAATAATTAAGTTGCCTTAAAATATTATATTTTAATAATTACAATACTAAATAATTAGAGTAGTAAAATAGTTGGTAGATATATTTCATAAAATACTTTTAACTTTGTTTTACTGCTACTTTGCTAATCATTTAATCAATAATTGTTATAATAGAGACAATCACCTTAAATTTTTTACATCAAACTACTTTGTAGATCTCTAGAGAAAACTAAGTATATTCCAAATGAGGATAAATATATGTTTGAGAAATTTATTTTTTTATTTGTAAAGACTTGTCTGTTCCTTATAAAACTTGCTTTGGTATGTCTCTTAGATGTGTTGGCCTCTGAAAACAGCTGGAAATATTCACACTGTTTAGAAATCTTAATATTTTAGCTGGTAAGAGTCTTTTAAAAAGTGAACAGTAATTAAAATGTGTCTAAAGTTTTGAAAGGTATTTATGCAAGAAATAAACCCAAATTATTCAAGGCCTACTCTACACCATGCACTAAGGTGTAACAATTTCAGTTGTTCATAAGCCCGAGTTAGCAAGGTATGGAGACCAGACTCTGCTATTCCCCGTAGATTTTCTTATTGTCCTCTCATTCCTTCAACCCTCCCCCAAAGGCCCTCAATAAAATGGTTTTATTCCCCCACCCCCAAAAAGCTAATATTATAAGGAAATATTATTTAAGTTGCCAAAACCTCCCAGCAATGTAGATATTTTAATAATCAGATCAAATTAAAATTTCAAAATATTTCAGTTGCTTTAGAGAGTTGAGACATACACACACACGCACACACACACCCTTATTTTAAGTTAAACAGTTGACAAAGGGTGACTAAAGACAAGTAGCTCAGATTTAGTGATTATAGTGCAAAATCATGTCTCTTTCTTTAAATAAATGAATCATTTAAATATGTTTTTCAACACAGAAAAAAGGCGTTGAATGACAACCTAGAGAAATGCCTTAGTTTTTATTTAAACAACTTCATTTAAGTACTGTGAGGTGTTTTTTATTAAATTATTAGTAGTAACATTATTTATATTTCCTAAAATGGGAAATAAGTGTGAAATTCTCCTGGTAGAAAAATGAAATTCTATCTAAATAATAACTAGTCGCTATTTATAGTTTGTCCTGATTTGTTGATGGACAACAAAGGAAAGTTTGTCTCATAGTGAGTTAGCAAATGAAAATTTTATGTATTTTTTGTTATTTTGTCTAAATTTGAGGTCACTGGTTTAAGGCCCTTGTTAGTAAATTTCGATATATTTTAAGAGACTGGAAAATTTGGAAAGATATTTTATTTACCTTTCTTGGACTCATTTAAAATATATTTTTAAATGGCATACTTGCAAAAATAACCAAAAAAATATTATATATATGGTCCATCTCTAAATGATTCTCCAGATTCCTTAGTTTCCATTTTCTGATTTTTATCTGTTAGACATTTTCATAGTATATGGTTACTTTGGCTAGGTAAAATATTAATAATTTGCCCAACCTTCATTTTTTTGATTAATTGGATCCCTGCTTAAGGAACTGTATTCTTTATAACGAATTACTGGCAAGGTAGGTTGGCCAAAAGTTTGACCTTTGGCTGTGTTTCGTGTACAGGTACATATACATACATGTGACATGAGCATGGATGTAGCACTTCTCTTACTGTACTGATGTGTCTGCTTTCTCCTTGTGACTAGGCAGTGTGTTAAAACTCACGGAGTTTCCTGCTTTCTCCGTAGGTGGTCAGGCGAACAGATTTTCATTTCTGGGTTTCTACCTATTCCAGACCATGTGGCAGCTAGCTAAGATAGTGGCTATTTTTAAATAAATGCCTATATATTTTGACTTATTGAGCGGTTTTCTTTTCTTTTGAATTATATTATTATTGAGGTCAACTTTTCTCACCATTTAAAACCAACAAAATATTTTTTTTTTAGGTTTTAAATTATTTTTAATTTTTTAATGTAGCGCAAAAATTCTAAAGATAAATTCTCTTTTAAAAAAGACGTAAATAGTAGTGAAAAGAGTAAATTGAATTACACAATTCCTGGCACAATCGAATGTAGTAGTAGTAAAGACCAGAATTGTCTCTTTCTGTAAGCCATGAGACTTCTCTAGTAAAATGGGGATTACAGTAGTACCTTCTTTTGGGGTGAAATGGAATAGTCATTGTAAAACATTTGGCATATTTATGGTTTAGTAAGTACTTACTAGTTGCTCTTAGTTGTAGTATTTACTCAGTAATTGTTGATTGTAAGATCAAGTGAATATAAGTAAATAAAACTGCTCTTTTGGTTTTAGAGAAACAGGGAGTGGTTTTGTTTTCAAATATAATCAAGGCAGTACTTTATAGATTGTTTTGAACCAGTTAGACAATTTTGAAAGACTTGAGTAGTCAGCAGCATGAATTCCTTAGTTAATTCAAATATGCTAAGTATTTTTGGCGGTTTTGTGGGGGTTTTTTACTTCCAGATTATTTTCTTCACATGATCCGTTAAAACTATATTTGCATACAGTTCCATTTTTAATCCTATTCAAATTTTTAAATCATTTTGGGTTGATTTAGTAATTCAGTATCTGAGGGCATCATTTTTGTTTTGTTCATTACTTTCTAAAAATTCCATAATAGAATAATGAAGTGAACTAGTGAATAGTGACATTGTTTATTGTATGGTACCCAGTCTTGATGGTTAAATCAGCATCACATTTTTCTCCAGTGCTCTCCAGATATAGTACTTACTGTAAATTAACATTTTAGCAAATTTAGCCATGTTTTATCTTCTCCTTCATAATGCCTGAGAAGCAAATGTATTCTACTTTTCATTAATACTTAATGAAATCTTTAACTTTATTAACAAAAAAGTCTTAACACATAGTAAGAGATTTATAAGTAAATGAATAAAAAATATATATGGGTTCGTAAGCCATAAATTAGCCACTTTTTCATGTTTTCTTATTCAGCTCTTTTCTCTTATTCTTAGAGAACCTAGAAAAGTGGAATGCCATATAAGTTCAATTACACAGGGTAACTAAAAATAAACTACATTTAAATTCTCCTCTTAGTTATTCTCAAATCTTGATATTCCCTACTGGAAAAAAAATGCTTCAAAAAATAATGTCATATGCTCAAGAAAATGTTGTGTTTTTTTTCACATCTTCTGAAAGGATATGAAAGCCCACTGTATAGTTCAAAAATATTATGTTTAATTCAGTAAAATAGTTTAAAGCAGCACTTCTTAAAATTTTGGTCTCAGAATCCTTTTACAGACTTAAAATACTATTGAGGATTCCAATGAGTTTTTGTTAATATAGGTTATAACTGTCAATATTTATGTTTTTAGAAATGTACACAGAGCTTTTCAAAATATTCTAATTGTAATATACTCATTACATGTTATAGGTAACATTTTTGGTGTATTACAATTTTTTCTTATATTTAGGACCAATTCACGTGCCACCTTTATGGCACCTCCTTCCTAATACCACTCAGTTCTTCTCATGAGAATTAGAAGCAACAAATAATTGCAAGAAGGTTTTATATAGGTCAGTGTAATACAACAAACTTTTTGTTGAGGCCCACTAATAACATTTTTTATGAAGAATAGCTATTTTTTCTGAAATAAAATACCATTAGTAAGAAAAGTACATTGATTTTTTTTGCATATCTCCTTAATGTCTGGCTTACTAGAAGACAGCTGGCTTCTCATGTCTGCTGCTAATCTGTTGTGATATCTATATATATAGAAGCCTAAACAGCTGTTACAATCGGATGACTGGACGGTAGCTATGATGCTCACTGACCACCAGGGGGCAGACGCTCAATGCAGGAACTGCCCCCTGGTGGTCAGTGCGTTCCCACAGCCAACCTCCCCTGCCAGCTGGCCCCACCTGTGCACAAATATGTGCACTGGCCTCTAGTGTTCTTTATAGTCTAGAAAACTAAAGTTCCATTTTCAATGAAAGAATAAAAGTGAAAAGGTAAACACTTTAGTATTATGAAAATAGTGTTGACCTTGCAGACCTTCTACAGGAGACTAAGACCCCCAGGATCTCCAGACCACATTTTGAGAATTGTGGGTTTAAAGAAATGTTGTTTAGTCGATAATAATAAAGACTTAAAACACTAATTGAATGCTTACTATGTTCTAAATTACTATTCTAAGCATTTTACCTATATTAATGCATTATATCTTCAGATATATAAACATTTGACATCATGTATATTGTAATTCCCATTTTACTGATGTGGAAACTGAAGCATAGGGAAATCAAAGTGACTTATTGCGGGCCATGCAGCTTCCAGTGGCCGAGGCAGGAGTCAGACTCAGGCTGACTTTGCTTCACAACCCGGCACCGTTTTTGCTAAGCTGCCTTTAGACAGATGCTCCTGCCTTCCTGGTGGTGGGCCGGAAAGAGCTTTGTGATTAAGGTGATGCATTGACTGAAGAACCTCACTTTTTTTATCTGCAAAGTAGCATCCAGATTTAGAACTTTGTCATTTTCAAAGTTAGATCATTCAGCTGGCCTAATTAAAATTTGATGGCTAAACTATATTCAATTAATTGTTTATACCAGCTTTCAGTTTCTCTGGTTTTACATTTTGATAATCCTAATGGCAGTTTTCCCCATATATATATATATATATATATATATATATATATATATATGAAGGGAAAATGATTAGAAGGTACTGCCTTCTAACTTTTGAAAGAGTAAATTTTCTGCTGAATACTGTTGCCTTAGTCACCATATTTCTCTCTGTTCCATTAGTTTTAAGGAGACTATTGATATTTTATGCTTGAAGAGTATAATACAGGAGATACGCTGCATGAGCTTGCAGTGGAAAGAAGTAAAGGGACTTCAGAAATGCCATTAGTTCTCTCTTAGCTTCCTGAATAGCAGGTTTTATAAATTGCTTCCAATGATAAAACCTCGCACCTGGCCTGATCCAGGCTTAGTCTCCCAAAAGTGTAAATGTGTTTGCCAGTCCACCACTGGAGAGCAGATGTTCAGGTAAGTGAGTGTGTTCTGTGGAAACAGAGTGCTACTACATTCATGTATTCACATCACATGCATGCATGCTTCTGCAGAGAGAGCCAACATGTTGAGTTTCATTTTGTAGGATTGCCTGAGAGCATGATGTTTTTTTAAAGTGTGTCACCTTCCTTATTTTAAGAAAAAGAAAATGTAATTTCAGGTGTCACGTAAATATTCCGGGTAAATTTGAATCCTGGAAGCTCCTGACGATGACCCTGCAGTTATTGTTCTGTCAGTCCTGTTGTGACATTTTGTGGTGGGTTGTCCTCTGTTTGAGTTGGTAATTTTCAGTAAACATTAGGGTTTATTTTGTTCATTTAAGATACATATGTAAAGACATTAGCAACAGGAAATAGAGGTAGCTCATTAAATTAACTTGATGTTTGATGGTATAGAGATGATCATTGTAGCGTATTCCTAATAAATCTTAAGTAAAAAATTTTGTGGATAAGGTTAAAATGATGAAGATATATACTTACTGCTTGCTTAATTCACATTAATTTTTTTTTCTTTTAAGGAGTCTTCTGAAGTCTGTTGAGGAAGAATTACATCAGCGGTAATTTTACTTTTTGTTTTGTTTTTTTAATCCTTACCTGAGGAATGAGGATATTTTTTCCATTGATTTTTTTTTTTTTTTTTTTTTTTTTTTTTTTTTTTTAGAGAGAGAGTAGAAGGGAGGGGGAAGGAGAGAGAGAGAAACATGTGAGAGAGACGTTGATTGGTTGCCTCCCACATGCAGTCTGACTGGGGGTGGGGATGGAACCTTCAACCCAGGTACATGCTCTTGACCGGGAATTGAACCCTGAGACCCTCTGGTGCACAGGCCGACGCTCTAACCACTTAGCACACCAGCCAGGGTGGCAATTTTACTTTTTAATTAAGCTTAAAATACTTTGTCACAGATGAGTCGTCTGTTTGTTCCCTTCTCTGACATGTGGCCTTAAGGTCATTTTGTTGTTACTGGTGTTTTGATTCTGTAAACATATAGAAGTAAAATTCTGTCTTGCAGTTTTCTAAAATTTCTTCTTAAGCTATTTTGGTCAAGTTCACTTAGTAACAATGGAACTATCCTTCTTTATCTTTAGAGGGCATGTGGCACATTTAGAAGATGATGAAGGGGATGATGATGAATCTAAACAGTACGTTCTGTTTTGATTTTTAGTAAAAGAGAAAGTATCATGTGCTCTGATTTCGTAAGTCTGACAGCCTAATATTGACAGTAATTTTAATGTCATTGGTAATGTAGTATTATGGGTTCTAGCACAGTTTCTTTCCTTTTTCTGTTTTAGTTGTATTAGTCTGCTCCATCATCCTTAATAATATACCATAGATTGGTGGTTTAAACAAAATTTATCTCTCACAGTTCTGGAGTCCGGGAAGTTTAAGCTCAAGGTGCTGACCAGTTTAATTCCTAGTGAGAGCTCTCTTCCAGGCTTGCAGACAGCTGCCTTCTCACCATGTCCTCAGACGGGCTTTCCTCAGTGTGTACATGCAGAGAGAGAACTCTTTCCCTCTTCTTATAAAGCCACTAATCCTGTTCAATTAGGACTTGACTCGTAAGATCTCAGTTAACTTTCATTACCTCCCGAAAGCACTATCTCCAGATATGATCACATCAACTTTAGGACCTCAACATACAATTTTGAGGGGACACAGTTCAGTCCATATTATTGTGCCCCTCATCCCCCAAAATTTATGTCCTTAACACATGCAAAATACAGTCATTCTAAAAGGCTTAGCTCTTTCCAGCATCAACTCTAAAGTCGTAATAAATCAATTCAAATTAGATCTAATGATCTATGGATCGCCTTCAGAATTATTTTTTCGCTCTTCTTAAAGAGTAGTGCACGTTCGGAAACCTCTGTCCATCCTGTTCTATAAAATCCAAGGAGTTTGCAGCCTTCCTTTGTTTTTGTCTCATCTCCATCCCCTTCCGTTCAAGCTGCCGGTGTTTGTGCTGGTAAAAGCCCATAAATTCCGTATTGAGTGACAGTCCAGCCACACCCTTGGTGCTCTCTTCAGAACATGCTTTCTCATGCCATCCATTTGTGAGCTAATATGGATAGGCTGAGAATTTTTCAAACTTCAAGTTCTAGTTTCTCTTTTCTTGGCATTTTTTTCTCTAGTTCATCTCTTTCATTTCATTATAAGCAAGCCACTCCTTTAGCACTTTGCTTAGAAATCTCAGGTAAATATCCAATTTCATTACTTTGAATTTTTACCTTCAACAAAACACCAGGACATAATTCAGCCAAATTTTCCCTGACTCTTTATAATAAAGGTCACCTTTCCTCCAGTTTCCAGTAACATTTCCGTTGAAGACCCAACCACAGTGGCCTTTAACTGCATTCTGTTGATGATTATTTATGTACTAGAGACCTGGTGCATGAAAATTATGCACTCTGTGGGGGGTCTCTCATAATTCAGGAGCTCCGCGATCAATCGCCCCAAAGGAGTAGGCCCCACCCACCCAGCCAGGGCTCCGTGATGGATCACCCCCGCAGAGGGAAGCCCCGCTCACCTGCCACAGCCCACCGGTCAGTGGCCTGGGCCTCCCTCTTTGGGGCGATCGTGGAGCCCCCTGATTGATTGATCATCCCACCGGTTGGTGGCCTGGGCCTCCGTCTGCAGGGTGATCATGGGGCAATGGCAGGCCCCCAACCAATCTCATCGCACCCGCCTTGGCTGGCCTGGCGCCAGTGTCTGTCATAGTGTGGCTGTCCAGACAGTCGTTCTGCTGTTCGGTTGATTTGCATATTATGCTTTTATTATTATAGATTCTGTAAGAAGATGGGAGCTTTCTCACAAGCTCTCCTCTTTTCTTTTTTGACTTCTAAACAGGCTCACTTTTTTAAAAAATCCTATATAATAAGAGCCTAATATGCTAAGTGTCCAGTCCGTTCAACCAATCAAAGCATAATATGCTAATGATATGCTAAGGCTGCGCAACCACTTGCTATAACATGCACTGACCACCAGGGGGCAGACACTCCAACCGGTAGGTTAACTTGCTGCTGGGGTCAGGCCGATTGGGACTGAACAAGATGGGCCAGACATGCCCTGGAGCCCTCCAGCATTCCCTCTCCAGCTGGCCAGCCTCCCTCGTCCCTCCCCATCCCTGATCGTGCACCGGTGGGGTGCCTCGGCCTGGCCTGCGCCCTCTTGCAATACAGGACCCCTCAGTTTCAGCCCGATCCCACAGGCCAAGCCAAGGGACCCCACTGGTGCACGAATTCGTACACTGGGCCTCTAGTATTTATATATATGTGTGTGTATTGATTTCAGAGAGGAAGGGGAAGGGAGAGACAGAAATAGAAACATCAATGACAAACGCACTTGAGTCCTTGGAGGCGTAGGTTTTCCTTTCTACTTCACTACTATGTGACCTTGGATCAGGTCCCTTAACCTCTCTGGGCCTCATTTTCCTCATCAGAGAATTTATGCTCTATTATCTTCGAAGTTTTGTAAACATTTTAGAAACTACAGGCCTGAATTGTAATGAATCTAAGCTTCAGTCAAGTGAGTTCTGTCTATAATTTCATAAAGCATGTATATTTTGATGAGGTTCATCAGAGATATTTCATATCTAATGATAGTAAAAATATATATTACATTATGATAATTTTATAGTATATCATTTTGCTGTTTTCCTGTAAACCAATTACTTGTTTTACATTAAGTACCTTTCAATTGATATAAACTGTAATTGTAGTTATCTTTCCCACTTTTAATTACTGGATAGAATTTGAAATCAAGAAAGCTTATCTACTCAGTTACCTCTGAATGATACTCCATTCAGCATAATTTGAATATTTAACAAAATATTTTAGAAAATGCCCAGTCTTAGAAAAAAGTAACTTGTTATACAATTTTTTTCTTTCATAACTTTGAAAAATTAATTATAATTTAGTAATGATTTTTTTATAAAATAGAGTTCTAATTCTAAATTTTTGTATTTTTATAGTTCAACCATGAAAGCAAAAATTCCACCTCCTTTGCCACCAAAGGTAGACAGATTTATTTTTCAATTTAAATTTGTTTGTGTATGTGTGTGATTATTTGATACTGTATTAATATTTACCCTGTAGCTTATTTTCACATGGGACCCACAAAGAAACATCATGAAGAAGTTACTAACTAATCATGATATAAATCAATAATTGTGTTATTATTGTTTCTCCTTTTTAATTATCCAACTTGCCATTTATTGTTCTAAATAAGTTCTAGAAATTTGTACATGAAAAAAATTATATTAATGAATTAGTAGTATTTCACTTAGTTTAGGAAACTTACTTTTTTTTTCTAAAATATGAATATATTTTTTTATTTCAGAGAGGGAGAAAGAGAGATAGACACATCAGTGTTGAGAGAGATTGTCTGCCTTCTGCACACTCCCTCCTGGGAATTGAGCCCACAACCAGGGATTGTGCCCTGACTGAGAATCGAACCTTGACCTCCTGGTTCATAGGTCAACACTCAACCACTGAGCTACGCCTGTCGGGCAAAATATATTTTTAAATAAGATTTTGTTCCTCAAAATCTACAATCTAGTAACTGATGCCCTAAGAATGAGTAAAGAATAGTGTTTTATCACAGATATTTAATTTTTAGAAGGTACTTTTAAATTAAAAATAGGTCATTAATTTTCAATTTTTTTATCAATGAAATCCTTTTGCCAAACAAAAGCATCACAAAAATAATAGATTATTCCAACAGATGAGGGGTTTTTTTTTAAGATAAAAGGAGTTAATAGGAATTTATTTTATAAGCTTATGCATAGCAAATTTTAATTACGGAATGAACTGTTTATAAAGTAAGCTGTTAGTTTTATAAGGTTTGAAATCATGGGTTATAAATGAGAATTAGAGTCTGATCAGTCTTGGCATCCAATATGTTACTACATTTTGTTTTCATTTCTTACTTTTGAGAAAATCATGATTCACACAGATAGATAATACTGCACTTGCTAGTTTAGTATTATATTAGCTTAAGTATAAAGATCTGAATCTCAGATCAGTGCTAAGTAATATTCCTAATAAGGGACATATTTATAAGAATTTATAAATTCTCCAAACCTCTTGCTGGTGGAGGTACCATAATTGTCTGAACAGAAAGGTTCTCAGACATCTTTTATTAGTATTCTCCATGATGATAAAATTTTAATTGATATCTTCTTCTACCCCCAGTCTGAAAGATTAAGCATTAACATAAAAGACATTGAGTCATTTAAAAGAGACAGTTTAGATTAGTCTTGTAAGGAGCTGAATAGCCTGAATGTTTAAAATAAAAAGAGACTCATTTAAATTGGAGATAAGAAAGACCAGAATATTTTTATTTGGCAAGTCTAAGTGGGAAGGCTTGTAAGGAATTAATAGAAAGAGGTCTCTCTTTTTTTTTTCCTGAGAAAGCATTTTAGTGTATAATTTTAAAATATGTATTGAGATCATCTGAATTAGATAGTTGAATAACCTTGGAACTCTGCTAGTATACACAGTTTAAAAGCCTCTGATATATAATAATATTTACTTTAGTATTTTTTATGTTTAATGAAACATGAATAATTTCATGTTTAATCATTGGTGTCCTTTTCTGTATTATTTCAGCCTAAGTCCATATTCATACCCCAGGAAACTCATTCTACTGAGGATGATAATCAAGGAACAATCAAGAGATGTCCCATGTCAGAGAGCCCAGCTAAACCATCCCAAGTCCCACCTAGACCACCACCTCCCAGACTGCCTCCACAAAAGCCTGTTGCTTTAGGTAATGGGGGAAGGGAGGGTGAAATAGGTTTTCAGACCGTATGAAAAAAAATGGAGGGAATCTTTTAAGAGATTATTTGAAATTCCTTTGAGGAGGGAAGAAGGAAGGCTATAGCTCTAGAGATGTTTTCTGCCTTTTGCTTCATGGTTTAAAGTGTTTTTATGACAGGATTACCTGTGGCCTAGTTTGGGATATTTTGCCCCTTGTTTTTTTTGTTGTTGTTTTTTTTTTTTTGTTAAGTATATTTTATTGATTTTTTAACAGAGAGGAAGGGAGAGGGATAGAGAGTTAGAAACATTGACGAGAGAGAAACATCGATCAGCTGCCTCCTGCACACCCCCCACTGGGGATATGCCCGCAACTGAGGTACATGCCCTTGACCAGAATCGAACCTGGGACCTTTAATTCCACAGGCCAACGCTCTATCCACTGAGCCAAAGCAGCCAGGGCTTGCCCCTTGTTTTTTATTTCATATCTAGCCTTTCCTCTTTTGGAGAATTGTTTATGTCCATTTCATCATTTATCTGTAGTTGGGCAACAAAAGAAATTTAAACTCTAAACAAACAAGGAAAATGTGTATTGAATAGGGTACTTCTGTTTTAGTAAAAAGAAGAGGATATTTTGGCTAACTCTTGTTTTATTTCATTTAATCATTTAAAAAAATAATGGTCAATATTTCCCTCCAAATTAATAATAGAGGATGCTGTGTTAATACTGTAAAGTTTCTTGTGTATTATGCAAAAGAAGTTGTTAAAAAAAAGAGCAATGACAGTTTCTTTGGTAACATACTCTAAATTGCTCCTTTCCTGAAAGTGTTTCTTTTTTGTCTTCTTAACACTAATATATGATACAACCTGAATTTAAATTTGCCCATATGATCCTAGCCGGTTTGGCTCAGTGGATAGAGCATCAGCCTGTGGACCAAGGGTTCCGGGTTTGATTCAGGTCAAGGGCACATACTTTGATTTCAGGCTCCTTCTTGGCCCAGGCCCTGGTAGGGTCTCCTGCAGGAGGCAACCCATCAGTGTGTTTCTCTCACATTGATGTTTCTCTCTGTCTTTCCCTCTCTCTTCTACTTAAAAATATCCTTGGGTGAGGATTAAAAAAATAAGTAAGTTGGGTGAGGATTAAAAAATAAGTAAGTATGTAAATAAATAAATAAATTTGCCTATGTGAAAGAAATAGATATAAGTAGAAGAGCACATATGTAAGACTTCTTAATTCAGTGCTAAGTATTCTAATTGGGTGATCCCAAATGAAGGCTGAAACTGCCACAGAGATGTTTTTCTTTTCTACATTTTCTGAGTGAAAGAGTCCTTTTTTTTAATATATTTAAACATCTTATTGAAGGAAATGGAGTGGGCTCCTTCCAGTTAAATGGTGAACGAGATGGATCCTTATATCAACAACAGAATGAACATAGAGGAACAAACCTTTCAAGGAAAGAAAAGAAAGATGTACCAGTAGGTATTTATATTCATAAAGTCTACTTGTATTTGTTTTCTTTTTCACCACTTGGTTAGGTTTGTGATTATAATTAGTGAGCTACGGCAATTGTATGTTTTATAATTAGTTATGTTGATATTTTAATGTATTAAGTATAATAATATGAGTTGTTTAAATCTTTAAAAAAGTAACTTTGCTCAATGGTAAATTTGAATGATGGCTTTCTATTTGAATTATTTAGGCCAATTTGTGACCTGCATGCAAGTAAACACTTAGTCTTCTTGTGATTGTTCAGAAAATAGCTATTGTTTTTTTCATTGTTCCTTAAAAGTCCCTTTTACAGTGTCAGGAAATGTGGGAGACAAGGACATGGACAGATAAGGAAAACTATAGCTTCTACCCTAGGATAAATTTCTAACTATAGATTATGCAGTTTGTGATATTACTACTCTTACTTGGAATAGCTAACAAGGAAGAAAAATTAAGATTATTTTCTAGTAGATATCACTTCAAGAAAGATTAAATTAGCCGTAGAAGCTGTTATAAATGCAAGATAAAACATATAACATAACTATCCTATCTAATAAAAGGGTAATATGCAAATTGACCCTTAACAGCAGAACGATCAGTCGCTATGACGCACACTGACCACCAGGGGGCAGACGGTCAACTCAGGAGCTGCCCCCTGGTGGTCAGTGCGCTCCCACAGGGGGAGCTCCACTCAGCCCCAAGCCAGGCTGATGGCTGCAAGTTCAGCAGCGATGGCGGGAGCCTCTCCCGCCTCCTCAGCAGCGCTAAGGATGTCCAACTGATGGCTTAGGCCCGATCCCCCGGGGAGCAGAGCCTAAGCCGGTAGGTGGACAACCCCCCAAGGGGTCCCAGACTGCAAGAGGGCGCTGGCCGGGCTGAGGGACCCCTCCCTCCCCCTCCCCCCCCCGAATGCACAAATTTTCGTGCCCTGGGCCTCTAGTTAAAACATAAATAGTATTATCAGGGAGATTAAAATTTTTTTAACATTTGTAAAGAATTTGCTCTTCATCATCAGAAAGCAAATCTGCTGTCATAGAACTTAAAACAGGAAACCAAAATGGCGGCATAGATTAACACTGGAGATTGCTGCCTCGAACAACCACTTCAAAAAACAACTAAAAGACGGAACGGACATCATCCAGAACCACAGGAAGGCTGGCTGAGTGGAAATTCTACAAGTAGGAGGAAAGAGAATATCATACCCAGACTCAGAGGAGGCGCAGTGCTGAAGTGAAATACTAAGGTGCGGAGTGCATGCGGAGCGGGCTGGAGGCGGAGGGCGCGGTTGTTGTTTTCAATCGGAAGGGAGTTTCAGACTCTGAGCTCCAGATCCGGGCGAGTCTCTAGGGACCCAGACTCAAACGGGAGAAGCGGGACTGTGTGGCTTCAGTCAGAACTCGAAGGCAGCTTTCTCTCCGAGGTTTGCAGCAGTTGCTGGGACTCTGTGAGGCAGAGCCCCTAGGGACAGAACTGAGAGCAGCCATAACTGCTTGCTCCGGCCAGCCCTGTAGATCCCCGGGGACCCGCCCCGCCCAAGCCCTGCACAGAGCCATTTGCCGGATAGCCTCAGGCAAACGCTAGATTAGCACCGCCCTAGAGATCCAGCACAGAAGCTCTCCCACTGCAGACACAGTGGACTCTCATAGCCAGTTAGTCTGGAGGTCAAATCACCCCCGGTATTGCCGACAACAATCAAGGCTTAACTACAACAAGACTGCGCACAAAGACCACTAGGGGGTGCACCAAGAAAGCATAAAAAATGTGGAGACAAAGAAACAGGACAAAACTATCAATGGAGGATATTGAGTTCAGAACCATACTTTTAAGGTCTCTCAAGAACTGTCTAGAAGCCGCCAATAAATGTAGTGAGATCCTCAAGAAATCTAATGAGACCCTCGATGTTGTGATAAAGAACCAACTAGAAATTAAGCATACACGGACTGAAATAACGAATACTATACAGACTCCCAACAGCAGACCAGAGGAGTGCAAGAATCAAGGCAAAGATTTGAAATGCGATGAAGCAAAAAACACCCAACCAGAAAAGCAAAATGAAAAAAGAATCTGAAAATGCGAGGATAGTGTAAGGAGCCTCTGGGACAGCTTCAAGCGTACCAACATCCTAATTATAGGGGTGCCAGAAGATGAGAGAGAGCAAGATATTGAAAACCTATTTGAAGAAATGACAGAAAACTTCCCCCACCTGGTGAAAGAAATAGACTCACAGGTCCAGGAAGCGCAGAGAACCCCAAACAAAAGGAATCCAAAGAGGACCACACCAAGACACATCATAATTAAAATGCCAAGAGCAAAAGACAAAGAGAGAATCTTAAAAGCAGCAAGAGAAAGAAACTCAGTTACCTACAAGGGAGTACCCATACCACTGTCAGCTGATTTCTCAACAGAAACTTTGCAGGCCAGAAGGGAATGGCAAGAAATATTCAAAGTGATGAATACCAAGAACCTACAACCAAGATTACTTTATCCAGCAAAGCTATCATTCAGAACTGATGGTCAGATAAAGAGCTTCACAGATAAGGAAAAGCTAAAGGAGTTCATCACCACCAAACCAGGATTATATGAAATGCTGAAAGGTATCCTTTAAGAAGAGGAAGAAGAAAAAGGTAAAGATACAAATTATGAACAACAAATATGCATCTATCAACAAGTGAATCTAAGAAGTGAATAAATAATGTGATGAACAGAATGAACTGGTGATTATAATAGAATCAGGGACATAGAAAGGGAATGGACTGACTATTCTTGGGGGGGAAAGGGGTGTGGGAGATGCGGGAAGAGACTGGACAAAAATCGTGCACCTATGGATGAGGACAGTGGGTGGGGAGTGAGGGTGGAGGGTGGGGCGGGAACTGGGAGGAGGGGAGTTATGGGGGGAAAAAAGAGGAACAAATGTAATAATCTGAACAATAAAGATTTAATTTTTAAAAAAAGAAAAAAACTTAAAACAACAAAAAATTCTTAAAACCCCCAATTCAGCGGATGCCAATACGATCATGAGATGAGACAGTATTTTTGAAGTCTTAGTGTATACTAATATTTGTTAGTTTTATAGAAATTTATAGTACTTTTAATATATTTATGTGCATATACCTGTGGTTTTGCACAGTAAGCAGTGTTGAGGCTTTGTACTATAGCTGTTTAACTGTTAAAGAATTCACAATAGAATATGACATACTGTTTTTAATAATTCAATTAAGGCATTTGACTTGGGTTGTCCATTTGTAATTTGTGAAATTCATGACATTTTTAGCAAAAGGGTAAAGTATCCTTCAGAAATGGCTTTAATAGAGTCTTTTCAACTGAGCAATGCCTTTTTTGCTTTCATCAGTTTAAATTTTAGCAGCCCTGCTAATGTAGTACAAAAATGTAATGGCTCTGCAAAGTATAATAACCTTTGAAAGATGTATACATTTTATTATATGTGCATTTTTAATTTGCTTTTCTGTTACCTTATTTTAGAAGTATAAGAAACTCCTAGTTAAACTAACATCTTAATAATTCTGAAATAAATATTTCATGATTGTATCACAGGATAAACAGTATCCGTGATATACTGAAACATGATTACCGTTTGTGCAGCTTATTGAAATTATTTACAGCCAATTCTGTTAGTACTTAAATCGAACAGTTATAACATTCAGAGCTCCCTAATTAAAAATAATGTTTCACAAAATAGATGGTAAGAAGGTAATTTAGGAACATAAATATAAAAATAAGGACATAGAGTATTTACCAAATGGAAAAAAATATTATCAGAAATTTGTGGCAATAACAGGCTGTATATTCTCATAAACAGATCTACAAAGTAAAATTGTATATAGTCAATTTCAGAAGTGTCTAATAGTTACTCATGTAAGTGGTACTACACAGAATATTTGTATCATATCACAGAATTATGAAATTAACAGCAGCTTTTTAGTTAATTTTGTTGTATCATTTAAATAGTTCTGATTTATGTCAGAAGAGAAAAAAATGCAAGTCATTCCTTAAAAAGCTATTCAGGTTAACCTTGAAAGAAATCTAGACTTTAATACAATTTATACTTAAAGTATATTCTCTCCCAAAGAGATTCTTTCTCTAGGGGACAAATCATATACTCTAGGAATGTAGCTCCTTGGGAAAACATCTGATATTCTTGAGAATATTGTAGGTGAGCATACGTGCTATTTTTGCTCTTGTAATTATCAGTATATGCTGACCAATGGTTAATATATTTGAATAAATCAAAATGTAAAACTTCAATTAATAAAATACATTGTGAGCAAAGTGAAGATAATCTACAGACTAGGAGAACACATTTGTAATATATATATTAGATACTGTATTTAAATCTAGATTATATCAAGAATTCCAGCTAATAGATAAGAAAAAGGTAACTTAGTAAAAAATATATGAAAAAAAACAATGTACAGAAGAGCAAATACAGAGAGCCAGTAAACATTTTTTTTTTTTTAGTAAACATTTTTTTAGAAAGATTCTCAACCCTTCTAGAAATCAGAGGCATGCAAATGAATGACAAAATATTTTTTACTAATCAGTTTGATAACAAATGTTAAGTGTCTGTGAGACTATAAGGAACCAGGACTCTCATGTATTACTGGTGGGTGTGATGTGATGTGGGCATTGTGAAAGTTTGACAGTCGGTATCCACTAAAATGTAAAAGATACAGATCCCATGTTCCAGTAGTTTTATTTCTCATGGTATACCCTAAAAAACATTCACACAGCTCTGGCCAGTTGCTTAGTGGTTAGAGAGTCGGCCTGGGGACCAAAGGGTCGTGGGTTCAATTCCTGGTCAAGGACACATACCTCAGGTGCAGATTCCTCAGCTGCTTAAGGGCAAGTACAGGAGGCAGCCAATTGATGTGCCTCTCTCACATCAATGTTTCTCTCTCTCTTCTTCTTCTCCTCCCTCCCTTCCACTCTCTGGAAATCAAAGGGGAAAAAGTCCTCGGGTGAGGTTTTAAAAACAAACAAACGTTCACACATTGCATCGTAAGGTATAGGCAAGGGTGATGGTTTCCATATCGTTGTTACAGTAATGAATTGAAAGTAACCTAATTACTCAGTACCAATTAGGGAATAGCTGAATTATGTCATAGTCATGCTGTGCCGCAGTTAAAACAAATGCACCAGATCTATATGTACTGGTATGAAATGCTGTCCAAGGCCCAGTATTAAGGCAAAGGACAAGTTGCACATTAGTGCGTAACTATTATTGCTCTTAAACACACACAAAATCAATACTTTCTGTGGGGGCATTTGTATGAATATATACAAAAAGTCTGGAGGGATACACAAATACGTGAGTGCATATAATTGGCTAGAGAAAGTTTTGGAAGGATAGACACTAACTTGGTTTTGTGAGGCACAGGTACTAGGAATAAATGGACTGTGGGAGATTTATAGGGAACTTCAGCCTTATCTACAGTGTTTTGTTTTACAAAAAGAATGTATTTGTCTATTTTATTCTAATATGTGTGTTTGTTATACCAAACAGCAACAAAAGAGGTGTAATCATGCATGTGTTCTTTTTCTAGAAGCCTATTAGTAACGGTCTACCCCCAACACCTAAAGTGCATGTAAGTATAAATATCAAATAGCCGAAGTTTTCAAAATAAATACAGTGACAAACAAGTGCTCATATGTGTACCTTTGGTTAGATCATTTGCCTATTTGAAAGAACCTCCATGATTGTTGAAAAAATCTATAAGATTGGTAATTTCAATATTTATTACATCTAAAAAGTAGTTTTCCAAATAAAAGTATGATAAAATTATACATTTTAAAGTTCCTTTATTCCAAACTTTATTAATATCTTCCTTGCAGATATTGTTGAAGAAATGTGAAAAAAGGCATATGGATATAATAGGAAGTACAGGATGTAGATACAACCAACACTTTTTCTAACATGTTTTCAATTATCAAAACATTGAATTTTAGGGTAAAGCTGAGACCCAAATGTCTTAGTCACCCAGATCACAAAACGTCACCTAACTCTAATAAGACCTATAACTCTAACGAGACCAACAACTAGATCTTAGATGTCCTATAATGTACTCTGCTTGTAGGTGGGGGTTTTTTTATGAGGCCATACTGTCCTAGGATTAAAATTATTTTAACTCAGTGTGGCTTTAGGTTAGTACAGACAGACTGCATTTTCACTTCTACAAAGCTATAATCCAAAACTGCGTAACACTAGATGTCCATGGTTTTTCTAGTTTTTAACCTCCCAACTATACTTTTTTAGCCTTTTTACTTTTTAACTTTACTTTTTAATTAGTATAAAGATCTAAATAACTATTTTTATCTTACAAAATAAAAGAAGCTTTGAATTTAAAGAGCTCCCAAGTCTAGCAGAGTTACGTGTACAATAAGGATGACATTTCCTATCTGGCGACAAGCTGAAACTGTTACGCCGGGTATGCCGTTCACGGGGAGGAGCTGATGAATAGGGAACGCCGGACAGGGCCAACTAACAACTCAGCTTACGGTTGAGACTCGTTTCTTTTGTAGCCCATTTTGTCACGAGGATTTTTAGAGGGTTTAGCATTACTTTAACATACGACTTTTGGTAGCTATCTGAATGGATAATTTAATTATTTGTTAGTAAAGCAATATAATCTCTGCCCTACACCATAAAAACATTTTTTAACAGTATACTGCCACCTCATGGTATTGCCTGGCTGTTATTCTTTTTTTGGTACAAAAGCCTTTGAAATATTGGTTGGTATGTTTTTGAAGATAAAGGAAATCTTAAGATTTATATATTTTAGGTTAATATTTTTAATCCATTGTAGTCAACTAGTGATGTGTTTTCTCAGCGTACAGGGTGGGGCAAAAGTAGGTTTACTGTTGTGATTACCCGAAACACAAGAGTTTATTCCTGTGTGATTACTTACTAATTTTTATGTTATATTGCATAAAAACAGCTGTGAGCCTCCTTTCCCCACTCTGGATTATCTCCACTTTGTAAAGAAAACATTAGTGATATAAAATAAAGCACATGTTCTTCTGACCAAATATTTATATGTTCTTTTTCTCACAAGTTGTTGGTAGTAAACATGACTAAATGAGAAAGCATTCTTAATTGTGTTTATTCTTACCTGAAAATTAGTATTTTACTCTTTGAAGATAAAAAGTTAAAATGAGTGATACTGATTTTCATTATAAGGTACTTTCTGAAAGATTTGTAAATGGCCTCAAATAAATATCAACATCAAAGAATAAAGCTCTTCTGTTGAATCCTTCCAGGGAAAATCATCAGATTGCTCAATTTTTTTTTTAAAGTGAGTCTGTATGTTTTGAGATTGAAGTACATATATGAATTTCTAAATCAATCATACCTCTTTTACTTTTTAATATTAAATTCACTGATTTTAGGTCCATAGAACCAAATAAGAAAATTTTTACCTTTGTAGAGATTATGATTTTCTTCTTACCACGGAATATTATATTGCTCTTGATGTGTAAGTAATATTTCTGTACATAAATTATTGTTCAGAATTGCTTGCTGTCACTGCTTCGTTTATTTGAGAAGATAGGGAAAATAAAATAACTCTTGTAAGTAAAATCTTGTGTCAGTTGACACTCACTGTTGTGCCTGGACCCTTTGAGGTACCACTGTAAGGCAAAGGACTGTGGCTTGGTATCTTAATTTGTTTATTCTTCATTTTTCTAGATGGGTGCTTGTTTTTCAAAGGTTTTTAATGGGTGTCCCTTGAAAATTCACTGTGCAACATCATGGATAAACCCCGATACCAGAGGTAGTACTATATGTTTTTATCTGTTATCTTTCTAATTGTTTTTTAAACTTGAGGCCATGAAAGCATTTGATTTTATTTATTTTCTGAATTTTTCTGAGAAAATTTTTGTTACAATTAAAAACATTTTTAAGGTAAATGTTTTTTTATGCTATTAGCAGGTGCCTGAGGTGACACATGGCATTAAAATTTTACTGTGTAGCCCTGACTCAGTTGGTTGGGCATCATCTCACACACACCCAAAGGTTGCTGGTTCAATTCCTGGTCAGGGCACATGCCCAGGTTCCGGGCTCAATCCCTGGTAGGGAATGTGCAGAAGGCAGCTAATTAATGTCTCACTCTCACATCGATGTTTATCTCTCTCTCTCTCCCTCTCCCTTCTCTCTCTCTAAAAATCAATAAAAAATCTTTAAAAAAATTTTCACCATGCAGTCCCTATATCAATATAGTGAAACCATGCACTCTCTGCCACCTTAATTTCCTCCAGGAAAGTTTCTTCCTTTCGGCAGCACAATCATTCAATATCTGTGCTTTAGACACAGCCATTGCTAAAGTAATTTAACTACTGAGGATTCAGGATCTGGTGGCCACTTTAGAGGATCTCTCACCTTAAAAAGGGTCATAATAACAATAGTTGTCATTAGGCACTAAAGACTATAATATCTGTATCTTAATAACTATATAAGATTCTCTCTCTCTCTCTCTCTCTCTCTCTCTCTCTCTCTCTCTCTCTCTCTCTCTCTCTCCCTCCCTCCCTCCCTCCCTCCCCTCCCTCTCTCCCTCCCTCTCTCTCTCTCTGTCTCTCTAAACCTTAAAAATCCAAGGTATAGGTACTTTCATTTCACAGGTAAAGTGAATGACACTCAGAGGGTCCCAGCCATTCTGTGGTAGAGCTGCAGCTTGAAGCCAGTTCAGTTGTCTGACCACAGCCTGTGCCTGTAAATACCAGAACTAATCCTGAACACCGGACAGTGCTGGAGTGCTCACGCATTCTGAGTTGTTCTCTGTACTTCAGTTTAATCTGGAGAAGTGTATGTTGTAAAAACAGACCGAACAGGACATTGACCAAACTTCTGGTATTTTCTAGAAGATATCAAGTACTCTAGCAAGTATCCAAGTTTTAGTGAACTTCTAAATGGGCACAAGTCAGTTCTTTTTTTATATTAGTGCTTATAATAGTAATAGTCCATTTGCACAGATTTTGAATCTGTATCAGCTGTTCTTGATTTACATTCTGTCAGTTGTACATGATCCGAAGGAATTTTAAAAAAGGAACTGCCAATTCTCTGCCAGTCCTTAGCACCCTCCCGTGGGTGAGAAGTCCAGCTTGCCACTCTTCAAAATGTTTTTTACATAGAAGTTTCTTCACTGCTTTGAGGGTAATATTTGCATATAATTCAGTTCATTAAGTTAGAGTGTCTGACCACTTCTACACATTAAAATAAAAAATATGTAATTCTTATAAATCAGTTATTTTTTCCTAATGCATATTTACTTAATTTTAGACCATAAATTTAAAGTGGTATATCTCAAAATCAATGAATTCTTTTTGTCATTTCAGATCAGTACTTGATATTTGGTGCCGAAGAAGGGATTTATACCTTGAATCTTAATGAACTTCATGAAACATCAATGGAACAGGTATGTTATTTTGTGTTTTTTCTTAATAATTTTTAAATTATTATAAGTAGACAATAGATAAGAAATAATTTAAATTCTGTGATTTGCTGCCTCTCATTCATAAAACCTTTATAGAGCATGTTCTATTTACTGGATACTGAAGACACATTCACATACTAGTCCTTACTCTAAGGAGCTCATGATCTAACAGAGGAAACAGACACATAAACCAGTAACTGCACCACGCAGAGTTAGATGTGTACAAGGTAGAGGCCACAGAAGCAGAAGTCAGTAGCACCTCCTGGGGGGAGATGGGGAGAAACATTTGAAATGGACCATAAAAGACCATGAGTAGAAGGTTGCGAGAGAGACAGAGGTTAATGTCCTTAGAGGCCTTGATATGTTTCCTCACCTTTTTCTTCATTCTCTCCATCCCCCACCCTCATCCCAGTCTATTTTGGAGTAGCCTAGTAGGAATTTCCAGAGCAAAGCCAGTAGCTAAGCTTGTTAAATCAGAATACTTTGATTACACTCATCAGTGGTTCTCAAACTTCACTGCACATCAGAATTACCTGAAGGGCTGGTTGAACAGATGCTGGGCCCACCTTCAGAACTTCTATTCAGTAAGTTTGGAGTGAGGTCCAGGGATTTCCATTTCTAATAAATGCCCTTGTGTAAGGACCACTTTGAGACCCACTGATGCTCATGATGAAGTATCCAAATGAGAGCAGTTATTTTTTTCTTCAAAGTACATGGACTAGGTTCCATAAAATTCTCTTTGCCCTAAAAACTAATCACTTTCAAGCTTTGAGAGAGGTCTCTCAGTTCTTAAGCACTAGATTTCAGTAATGAATTCCATATATGTATCCTTTACGATTGATAAGTTTTTATCATATTCTCTCAGCCATTTTCCTCTACGCCTATGGTCCACTGCACTGTGATCCTCCTATCCTTCTGTTCCAAAAGCCCTGTGTGTTCATATGCATACATAAGAACATTTTGGGGGAGTACAGAAGACAGTCTTAGCTATCTAACCCTAGAACCAAAATAAAGTCATAGACACTGTTTGAAAAGGTCCTTTTCCTAGGAGTTTGGGATTACCTAGCCCTTATCATAAACCAGGCTCGAGCTAATCATAGCAAGTTAAGACTTAGATAACGAAATTACACTGCTAATTTATTGTTTCCCTCCCATATAAATGTGCATGTATGTGTATCATCTTGGTTTAAATGCCTTGTAAAATGAATTTCTATTCAAAATAAGTTTCTTTTTTAAAAACTGACCTATTGATATGACAGCTTAGGTTAATATGCACATATTACATTACTGTTACCTAATATCCTTTGTAAACCTTGTGTTTTTGTGTGTTTTTTATCAGCTATTTCCCCGAAGGTGTACATGGTTGTATGTAATGAACAATTGCTTATTATCAATATCTGGTAAGTCTTTTAGTATTTAAGTACCTTATTGCCGGGAGCCGGTCCATCCTTGCTGTTTCAAAGGACCTGGCATATATGGCATACTGTTCTTAATATGTTTGCTCACCTTGGCACTATGTGTTTTAACCAAGGTCTCCTCTCTGAGAAAGGTTGTTTCCCCAGGTAGGGATTTTCCCCTGAAGTTAGGGAGGGAATAAAACCTCTTAACTAGTGCCAGGTGGGTAATTAATCACTTTAACTACGAACAATCATGCTTAAGCTACATAATCTTTACTCCCTGGAATGGAGATAAGAAACGCCCTAACCTTTGTAATAGAGATTGATAGGATTGAATCAACTGGTATAAATACAGATGTAATAAGACAGCAAGACACAGAACTTAGTATACGGAACCAAGAGAGACAGAACCTAGGCACAGAACCTACACAGAACGTTCTCTAGAGACAGAAGAACTTCGCTGGAGAGAACATGGCAAAAGATCCTGGACAGAAACTGGCCTCAGAACCTAGAGACAGAACCTAGTGAGAGAACATGGCAAAAGATCCTGGACTGAACCTGACTACAGAAATTGGCAAGAGAACCTGACTAGAACCTGGTGACTGAACCTGGCTGCAGAACCTGGACAGAACCTGGCTGGAGAACCTAGCGAGGGAACATGGCTACAGAACCTGGCTGGAGATCCTAAGCAGAACTTCGCTGGAGATCCTGTTCCTATTAATATTATTAGCTTTTATGTTATGTTTATTTTTCTCTACAGGTAAAGCTTCTCAGCTTTATTCCCATAATTTACCAGGGCTTTTTGATTATGCAAGACAAATGCAAAAGTTACCTGTTGCTATTCCAGCACACAAACTCCCTGACAGAATACTGCCAAGGTAACTGCACATCTAATTGTTTGCATCCTTAAACATAGCATGTTAAGTCACTAATAAGTAGTTATACTATAGAAGTTGAAAAAGCGCTCCGTTTGGGTTAGTAGAAATTATGTATAATGAAAAATTACAAGAACTAATGCATTTTCACACGTGTTCTCCTTTATGATCTTTCAGATTCTGGCAGTCAGTTAATCCTCCTGGGTTTTGACGATACAGTAACCTAGCCCCTTAGTTAACCTTGGGAGCCGGGGACAGGTTCACAAGTGTGAACCAGGGACATTATGATACCCATGGAGATCTATTAGGGGCTTGGTTCAGATTTTTAAAAACTCTCAAAAGGACTTTGGTTCAAGCAGTTTGCTTAAGGATGTGGGAATTTTTGTTTTGCTTTAAGCTGTATGAAACTCCTGCATAAATAAAAGGGGCATTTTTATACTTTATCAGTCATAAATTAGATTACTTGATAAATGTAAAATTCTTCCCAGTATGGCTTTGTTACCAGCAAAACACAACTCTGATTTAAAAAATAATAATAATAAAATGGTGTGGAGTAATGATATCTAATCTGTGACACATTTAAAAGTTTAAATATGTGTACAGACATGGAGGAGTATAATTTGAGGATTGTACCACTTGGTATATTAACTTTTATTATATTAACTTTATATTATAAAAATTATATATAGCAGTCTTATTAACTTTTATTATAAAAGATATTTGACTGGTTTTTTTAAATTGTAGTTTAAAAATATCATTTTAAATGGATTTTTACACAGTAAATTTGAATATTTGCAAATCTCCTAAAGTACTTTGCAGAATATCTACATCCCACTTTTTCTGAGTAGAGAAATAAAAATGTCTAAATAAAAAGTTCTTATGGCCGTAGCCGGTTTGGCTCAGCGGATAGAGCGTCGGCCTGCGGACTGAAGGGTCCCAGGTTTGATTCCGGTCAAGGGCATGTACCTTGGTTGTGGGCACATCCCCAGTGGGGGGTGTGCAGGAGGCAGCCGGTCAATGTTTCTGTTTCATTGATGTTTCTAACTCTCTATCCCTCTCCCTTCCTCTTTGTAAAAAATCAATAAAATACATATATTTTTTTAAAAAAATTCTTATGAATTGTCTTAGTGATAAGACAAATTTTTACATAGTTTAAATTTATTGTTTGTGCTAAAAAGGTCTTTTCCCAGTTTGTGGCTTATCTTTTCACTTTCTCAGTGGTAACTTTTTGTAAGTATTCAACAAGTTCATTCACCAAATTGAATGCCACCTGTAGCTTGAGATGCCTCTGTGGAAAATGTCAGTTAAAGATTATCAATATTTTCCTGTTTGATTTGTCCTCTCTGCATTTTTTAAAGAAATCCTGAAATCATCATCTTCTACAATCTAAATATTTGATAGTTTTGTTTTTCATATTTAAACTTTAATCCATTTAGTATTGATTAAAGGGGGAATTGAGAAAGGGATCCAATTTACTCTTATCTATAAATATCTATAAATATTAAAGCCTAAGCAACCACTATCTATGACGCACACTGACCACCAGGGGGCAGATGCTCAATGCACAGGCATGGAAACATGGAACAGACTGATGAATCTCAGAGGAGAGGGGGGAGCAGGAGGGCGGGAGGAGATTAACCAAAGATCTTATGCATACTAGTGGCCCGGTGCACGGATTCGTGCCCCAGTGGTGTCTCTCGGCCTGGCCGTGGGGATCAGGCCGAAACCGGCAGTCCAACATCCTCAAGGGGTCCCTGATTCAAGAGAGCACAGGCCAGGCCGAGGGACCCCACTGGGGCACGAATCCGTGCACTGGGCCTCTGGTTTTTAATAAATGACCTATGACGTCAGCACCAATTTTGGGAAAACTAATTTCTTCTCCACTGATCTATAGCAGTTTCATTATCATATACTCACTTTACCTACATGTATTATATATTAATTTTCATTTACATTTAGGAAATTTGCTGTATCAGCAAAAATCCCTGAAACCAAGTGGTGTCAGAAGTGTTGTGTTGGTAAGTAAACTGTCCAATCATGTGTGGTTCTTCTGCTTCACAAAGTGGACAAGAAAATACGAAGGGGCTTATTTTTAAACCGAGTGTAAAAAGTACTCCTCCGGGGTATTCTGCCAGCAATAGGTTTTTCATGCCACCCCCCCCAGCTCCGAAGTAACAAATGTCTTGAATTCTGTCTCCATGTAAACTATACCTAATATAATACCTTGCACAAAAGTTGTTTTGCAAATAATTTATTGACTGGATAAATGGAGAAAGTAGGATAACTTTTTATTACAACACTTTATGACACCCTATTTTTCGAAGGACCTGTTATTTACCATTCACCATTGTGCTTTGTAATGGCTTATGAGACTGCAGATAGTCAGTGAGCATATATTTTAATACCTTTAATTGTGAAACCTTATGCTGTGAAGGTTGAATTTCCCTATTTACATACCTCTATCCTAAATTCCTCACTCATCCCATAATAACTAGCTGTTTTATTTGCATATAGCAAAAACAAAAAAATAGTTTTCTTCCCTTAAAAAACTCTTAGACAATTCAGTTTTATTATTTGTAAATCTGTATTTTGAGATGTGATTTATGTCATTGTATTGTTATAACCAAAGCATTTGGTTATGCCTCTGAACATTTCTACCAAAAGCACCCTGAATCACTTGTCCCTAAATGTGCTATAGCCTATCAATTTGGCAACTTCTCCCCAAATCTTCCTGCTACCTTAAGACCTAAGTCCTTCTTCTGGCCCCCAGGTCTCATAACAACCAGCAAATTCATTTGTGCAGACAAACAAAAATCGTGCAAGTGATGAGGGAGTTTCATACTGTTCCCTGAGGCAGTATTTCTTTTGCATCCTGTAGTTTAACTAAGAAATTGAACTGGCAGCCAGCTTTTATTTGTTTGTTTTTGAAGCATGTAACTATTATCGTAAGGACTTTGTATCATAAGAGAATTTACTATACTTTTTTGCCTCGACAGTGAGAAATCCTTACACAGGCCATAAATACCTATGTGGGGCACTTCAGACTAGCATTGTTCTATTGGAATGGGTTGAACCAATGCAGAAATTCATGTTAATTAAGGTAAGCATGAAAGTCAACCTAAGTCATTCTTAATATAAAAGCTGAGTTAAGCCCAATTTCCTGTTCTTTCAAAAAAAAAATTTTCCCAGTTAATTCTCAAGTTAACTTAATGATTTTGGATTATGTGGCAAGGTAGTGGAAATCTGCCCAATTGTAAGGAACTCACTTGGCCTGAAAAAAGTTTTGAAAGACCACTAGAGCAGCGGTTCTCAACCTGTGGGTCGCGACCCCTCTGGGGGTCGAACAACCCTTTCACAGGGGTCGCCTAAATACATCCTGCATATCAGATATTTACATTATGATTCATAACAGTAGCAAAATTACAGTTATGAAGTAGCAACGAAAATAATTTTATGGTTGGGGGTCACCACAACATGAGGAACTGTATTAAAGGGTCGCGACATTAGGAAGGTTGAGAACCACTGCACTAAAGAAATAGTGCAGGGATATGGCAGTGGGAGCTAGAAATAGTGTCTCGCAAATCTATATATAGTCTGATAGGGTCAAGAATATGTGCTAAAAGAGCAGTGAAATGCCTGAATATGTTCTCTGCTCCAACACAGTAGAGAAACAACCTCCAGGTTGGTGTTTGGCCAAGGGATGAGGACAGGGGATGCCGTATGAGGGGGAAATTATTTATTTTGATTATATGCCTACCTGTTAATTTGCCCAGGCATTCCCTTGGATGGTTGTTCTGTTTTATTTTGTTTTGTTTTGTTTTATGCCTGGGCTTCTCTAGAATCTTGAATTAATGAATATATGTTTTAATATTTTATTAATTTTTAGAGAGGGGGGGAGAAACATCAATGTGAGAGCAGAACATTGAGGCTGCCTCCTGCACACCCTGACCTGGGACTGAGCCCCCAACCAGGATCACCCTTCAGTGCATGGGATGATGCCCAACCAGTGCTAGTTAATGAATATATTAAAAAATATTTAATATTACTCAGCTATAACTTAAATTTGAGGAAAAACTCTGTGAAGTACAGGCTTAGTCACACCAAGGAAATTCCAAATGGATTTTTTAAAGCTCTTTTCTTTGCTACTTTATCTAGATTAAGTTATTAAACATTTCACTTTGGCTTTGTTAGTCAGGGCCATGCTTCCTTGTGTCATCTGCCTGGCCTAGAGAAAACATGGATGGGCACTTTTTAAGCTTTGCATGTCTTCAGAGCCCTTTACTTCTTACTATTTTAAGATAGTAGATTTACAGTACATTTCTACTTGCAAGTCTCCCTCAAGATTTCTCGCTTAAATTCCTGAGCTACAGGCCCTTACCTACTACTCCCTTGAATCTCAGCCCAACTCTCCTTTCTCTGTCTCTCTGCTCAAAACTATCTGTACGTTGTTTCTGTATTTGACATTATTTTGATAAGTATTTATGATGTTTCTATACTACAGCGCGTATCAGATGTGTTCAAAAAGATTCTTATACTTTCTATATCCTTCCTTCCTCTTAATGACATTTCTGACAAAGCTTTTGCTTCACTAAACAACGTTTTTATCATAAGTAAAACTTATAAAGACATTCTCAAAAAACATTTTTGTTCTTATTACAAAGCAGGTACAGTGCTGTTTAACTAGAGAGACAAAGATGAGTAAGATATAGTCACTACCCTCAAGAACTATCACCAACAGCAACTGGATTTAAAACGATTGCACAGGAATCCTCTTCTGTCAGTGACTCCTACTCATTGCTTCGTTAGGATTGGAAGCTAAGCAGAAGTGTTCAAAATCTGTCGGTTTTCTTATTTGCTGACAAAATTAAGCAAAAGCATTATTTTCTCGATGCTTTACTGCTCTTACCACATTTCATAGAGAATTATTTAAAGTGTTTTACCTTATTAAAAATATGACAGGTTGTATGCAAAGCATACTCCCAGGTAATGGGAGAACTAGAGAGAGGGGTTTTGGAGGGTGTTGATGAAGGCTCTCCAGCAGTCACGGGGAAGGAAGGGATGTGGGAGCAACAGGTGCACATAGAGCTTTAAGTCCCAGCCACAAATCTCCTATGCATGTGTGGACTCGTGTTCTCTAGAACATAAAACTAGGAGTGTTATTGCAGAGTCCTCAGGAATGCACAACATCAACAGATAATATAACTAATCAGGGTGGTCAATTCCAATTTATACTCCAGTTTATGAGCATTTGTTTGCTTCTCTGAGTAATGCTTGTTATTGTTGTTCTTTTTGAGTTTAGCCATTCTGGTAGCTATGTATAGTATAGTACCTCATGGTTTTATTCCCTGATGATTATTAATGAAATTAGTGTTTTCCAGACTTCAAAAATATGATCTCATTTAATCTCTTTATAGAACTATAGAAATAATTTTAAATGTTATGTAAAATTAAAATGGCTGCATTATAACTAAGTTAATTTATTAAATATAACCACTTTGAGATATGGAGCTCAGCTTCTCTTGTGTGTTTTTTTCTGACCACACTTATAGAGGAGGGTCTCCTGCTAATTTGCATTTCTGTTTTCTGATCCATTTTGCTCAGTTGGGTAAGAAGGCAGAGGCGTGTTACTGAAGCAGCATTGAGTTGGGAGACAGGACTCTGCCACAAAGGGTGGGGGACCATGGGCCAGTCACCCAGTTTCTGGGTCTCAGTTTTCAACTCTGAAAAGAGAGAGGGGTTGGAATGTGATTAATAAGTTCCCCTCCAGGCCTAATATCCTAAAATTAAGTAATTTTTAACTTTAAAAAAATTGCAGTGCTAAATTTAAAATCCTCATAAAGATACTTCATAATTTGGATTTGTCTGCATACTCCAAGTTTCTATGACAAGAAGCAATATTTATAATAGAGATCTGTTTTGTATATTTCATAAAACTAAAAATTCTTAGTGGGGTTCTCGTGAAATTATTTGGCTTTTGTTTTCCTTTGTTTAACATATTTTTGTTTCTTTCTCTAGCACATAGATTTTCCTATACCATGTCCACTTAGAATGTTTGAAATGCTGGTAGTTCCCGAACAGGAGTACCCATTAGTTTGTGTTGGTGTCAGTAAAGGGAGAGACTTCAACCAAGTGGTTCGATTTGAAACAGTCAATCCAAATTCTACCTCTTCGTGGTTTACAGAATCAGGTTTGTGATTTTTATTGATTTAGTAATGCCAAGACAAATACTAGATTTATAAGTAATAAATTTAATATTTCTCATTAGGCAAAATAAAGGTATTATATATCTCTCTCATTAGTGCATAAAAATCCAATCTTGAGTAACTTATTAAACTGGGAAAAGGAAGATGACTTGACTTAAGACAGTCATTTGTTTGACATTTTTAAAATAGCCAGTGGTTCCGTCTTCTCATTGAGCTCCTTTCTGTCGCTCTGTGGCAGTTTATGGATTCGCACGAGAAGAAGAGACAATTCACAGAGCTAGCATTATGTTGCCTCCTGTCTTCCGAGGTGTATTCTGCTGTTTTGTGAGACATTCTTAAAAAAATAAATAATAAAATATAACCAGTGGCTCCCAGACTTGAATATGCTCAGCAGTTTCAGTTTTGATGTTCGTACAAAGCTCGGGATATTCTTCATTTTACCTGATGGAAATCAAGTCGTTGAACATTTTCAGTTTGTAAGAAGTTTGATAAATCATTATAACAAAAATAATGCCTCTTTGCATTTTGGTAGTACTTCATACTTTTCAAAATACTTGTTTTTTTAAACTCATTTGTGCTCAAAGTAATTTGTTCCCCTCACTGATTCATTCATTCAATAAATATTTATTGAATGTGCTAGGCACTGCCATATGGTAATGATATACAAAGCATAGTCCCTGGCCTCCTGAGCTTAAAATAAAATATTAGTTATAACAATAATGCGGAAGATTAGACTCCTATTTCACATATGAATAAAAATAATTATATCACCAATAGTATGACTATAGTTAATACTCCACTGAGCACTCACATAGTTTAGCTCTCGCATAGTCCGAACACAAGCAACCTCGCTCAGCCACCATGTTCAGCTGAAACTATATATCCATTTCAACTTCCGTGATGTTCAGAATTCTTTTATTTTTAATGTCCTGTGTTCTAATAATTCCTTTTTTCTGTAAGTGGATTGAGTTTGTTGGTTTTACAGATACTCCACAGACAAGTGTCACTCACGTAACCCAGCTGGAGAGAGACACCATTCTTGTGTGCTTGGACTGTAAGTTTTTATTTATGTACATCTTACTTTAATAACGTTTCCTCTTACCTTAGTTTCTCAGTGACTTTTTCTCTCTCTCTAGGTTGTATAAAAATAGTAAATCTCCAAGGAAGATTAAAATCTAGCAGAAAATTATCATCAGAACTCACCTTTGATTTCCAGATTGAATCAATAGGCAAGTCACAGTTTTATATTTTCGTTTAATTGCATTATGAGTTGCTTAAAATAATTTATTTGATAATTACCCAATATTATAAAAATATATTACTAAGGACTCATTTTTTTAAATATTGTATATAATAGTAAATATCAGTCTTCACTTTTATACATTCTCTAAAATAGCTAATAACTATGATACAACCCAAATAATATTATCTTCTTTATAGATTTTTTACTTTCAAGAGAAAGAATTATTTTTCATAAAGTTATGAATTTGTATTTCTTCTAATTTTCCTATAAGTACTTTAAAATTTAGTTAATATACTCTATTGTATTTTTGGCTTATATCTGCCGATCAGAAAGTTTTAAGTAGTATATAGAATTTCCTTCCTTCATTTTGTTTGACAAGAATTTTTTCCAAGAAGGGATTTCTTACATAATTAGTATTCTAAAATGATTACATTCAGGAAAAATAAGGTGAAATGATCATATATGAGATCGTGCTAGGGAAAATGGATGACGGGTAGTTCACTGTCTACACACACTTTCTCTGGTGTCCTTTAGCAGTAAGATGAAGGCATTTGCATGTATATCTGTTGGTAGAAGTTTGTCTTCTTCCCGGTTCTATTTTTACTCTTTCCTCCAACTAGAACATCTCTCTCCCGCAAGCAAATGCTGATGATAAGAAGTCAGTTTTAAGGGACATCTGCTCAAAATGTTAAAATGTAGTCCATATTTAAAAACACATAGCCAGGGTAAAAACAAAAAACCAAAAAACAATAAACCTTTTTTTTTCATCAAGAAATTTCTTTAACAAATATTTTTGGTAAATTTTCTTTTTTCTTGTCAAAAAGATGACTAAATTCTATATAGTATTTTTTTATTTCAAAGGTAAAAATGCCATATAAATATGGAGTGACTGACATTAGTTACTAATTGAAATATTGCTATGCAAGACAGAGAGGGATGAAATGATGCTTATCAGTTGAACTTTGTACTATTAACAGTAACTGAGCTGTTCTTGCCTGCTAGTTTGCCTACAAGACAGTGTGCTAGCTTTCTGGAAGCATGGAATGCAAGGTAGAAGTTTTAGATCTAATGAGGTAAGTCATCTTAAAAACTGCATCCATTAAATAATCATGAGGCATTATCAAACTCTACATCAAACAGTTTTATTTAACTTTAGAAAATGTCTCTGGTACAGGGCATACTTGATTTGCTAACTTTATTAATATTTACTGTATTCAGTCTAGTGATAAAAGTAATAGCACATACTTCACAGCCACCTCTCTCTCCCCATTTACTCAGACAATTTTAGTGCCTATTTCATGTGCTTCCAGATAATCAATCACCCTTATATTCAGAACAGGAACTTCCTAATACTGCTAAACGTGAGCCAACTGTGATTTTCTCTCAACTTTCCCAGACCATCACTTGGGACCAGAGTGCTGATGAGGCACTCTGCCATGAGGCACTTGCTACTTTGTTTTCAGAAATAATGACCAGTGCAGGCGATAATGGCAGAGGGTTCTCCATTTCCCTTGAAGCCACCTTGCCTCCTATTTCTGTTACCCTTATTCACTTGACATAAGATTCTTTGCTTCTTTTCCCTTTTCTATTATTAACCTTTAGCTGTATAGTCTGAGTCCTTCCTACCTTAATTTAACTACAGGAATAATTGAACTCCAAGTCATGTGACATACTCACTTCAGTTCAACATTTACACCAGAGAACGCTGGGGTTATAAACATGAACAAGATGTGTTACTTGCCTGGAATATTCTAGGCAAGTAAAATCATCAGAAATTCTCCCAGCACCCCCACGCTAGTCTCGGTAGGATAGCTCTTCCTTGAACATTAGAGGGAGAGGAGAACCTTAGGTGCTTCAAGCAAGAAAATTGTCCATTTATGTCCTAAACTGTCATTCAGCTCAGAGCGTGTCTTCTAACAAAGCAAACAGTCTAGCCCAGTGACGGTGGGCTTGGGTCAGAGTCACACACCTGAGTTCGAGTCTCAGCTCTGTGCTTTACTAACTGACCTTGGCATATCACTTAGCTCTTTTATGTTTTCATTTGTGAATTGAGGATAACAAAATAGTTTCATAGGTGCTTAAGATTAAATGAAAGGTAAACACCTGAAACTAAAATAATACTGAATGCCAAGGGTAAATGAAAAAAATTTTAATTAAAAAAGGTTCAGTGAAAGGAAGCATGTAATGTGCTTGACATAATGCCGGGCCTGTGGTAAATATTCAAGAGAGGTTGCTGTTAATGTGTATCTAGTAGCAATTCCCACAAGAGGGCCACTTCTCTGGAAGATGTTTAAAAATCACCTGAGGGAACAGAACAGGGAGGTGAGAACAGTCAACAGCTAATAAACAGTAGGCAGTGAAAGAGAGGCATCCTAGGCAGGATACAAGAGGGTTGTTCTAAAAAAGAAAGAAGAGTTTGTTCCCAAAAATCACCTGACAGGCTTTTTCAGATTACACAAGCATCCCTTACCAAATACAGTCCCTCGTAGGCAAACCCCAAAATTCTTTGAGGATCAGGCATGATGAGCCACTTTTCCTGAGTGAGCATGTATATCCTGTATCCTTCAAGTGGGCTGGATACAGACAAGATAAGAATACCTGGTGTTTCCACAATAGCTAATTGTAGCAGTACTGAGGGAATAAATGTCATTTCAAAATCAAATTGTTTCTCCGCCTACCAAATCTTGGAGAGAAGTTATGGACATTATAATTTGAAATGTTTTGCATTCAATAAACAGTACGTAAATAGTGGGTTGTTGTTTTTTTTCTCTGATAGATTTATTCTTAACTCCCCAACTGGGGAGAACTTCTTGGAGAATAGGTGCCGTGGGGAAATATCATTTCAGGAGACTGGCGAAGAAAGGAGAAAGAGGGTTATCTGTTGAGCACTCCTTAGCTAGGCATTATACCCACTAGCACTTACAAGACCACCGCAGGAGATTGCTATCATGTAGGTATTTCCTACCCCATTTTGCAGAAGGCAAAGCTGTTTACAGCAAAATGCTTCCCTTGTGCAATGTCGCAACTAGTAAGTGGAAGAGCTGGGATTCAAACTCAAGTCATACGTTTGTCCCTTTGGACCACACTGTAGCTTTTCAAGTAGAAGGACCGGATCCAAGTGGCTTTCTGCTGCAGTAGCCTCGCTATCAACATAACTGACGAAAGGTTTCTGATAAATACAACAGACTAGGTGCTTTGCTTTTAAAATTCCCCCTTGAGTTCCATAATTTAACCAGGAAATGGTTTTCCTACTCTTATTTTATGATTAATTCAAAATTAGCCACAATTTCTCCTAAACCGACAAATTGATGCACCAGTATGTCCACTTAACAAATTCACAGTCATGCAGGGATCCATTTCTGTCACAGGAATGTTTCTTTTCCAGAGTGCTATGAGTTAAATGCCTGTATAAAATTTTATGTCTTTAATTTCAGAAATTAAATTTTACTTTTAATTGAACAGGTAACACAAGAAATTTCAGATAGCACAAGAATTTTCAGACTGCTTGGATCTGACAGGTATGAAAGGGGTTGTATTATATACATAGTACTAAGCATAGTATTTTATAAATCCAGCATGAAACTGGTTTCTTTTTCCAGAGAATTGAAATTTCTCCAGTAATATATTCAACATTATATTTTCACCCAATTAGAATTCACAAGTCACAGTTGTAAAGCCTTTGAGAATGTGCCTGATCTTCCAAGAAATAGGAATATATAGATCTGTCAGTAGTAGTTTTGTTTTAGACATACTATCTAAACTATAAGTTATAGCACAAGAAACAGGAAATACTGTATGTTAACAAGCAGAAATTTTATGTTAGTGCCAAATAGGATTTGGGGTTTTATTCTGACTTATTTTCTGACTTTTGAACTATAAATTGTTTTTAGAAATTTTAATAAATTAAGTTTCCCCAATTATTCCTAATAGAGGTGGTGGGGAGCGGGGGTGCATAGCAAAATTACTTCCCAGAGCTAAACTGGCTCTTTAATCATAGTGATTTACAAGTGATTTCTGTCCAAAAACCAAATAAGCAGCATTTATAGAGGCATACAAAGAAGAAGCAATGGAAAATTTTTCTGTTGGCATTAGTTTCAAGAATAACTTCTTGTTATCTGTTTTTTGTTTGTTTGTTTGTTTATTAACTTTTAGGGTCGTGGTTTTGGAAAGTAGGCCAACTGATAACCCCACAGCAAATAGCAATTTATACATCCTGGCGGGTCATGAAAACAGTTACTGAGAAATGTGCTTTGGCAGTTAACTATGAAAAAAGAACACTACCACTGCAACACTAATGGATGCTTGAAGCTGTACAAAGGCTGCAGTAACCTGGCTGAGTTACTTGTAATTTATTGTGGCATGAGACAAGATGGGGAAACTTTTTGTTTTAAGTGGTATGGATATATTTAGCATATTGAACCACACAAGTGCTTAATTCATTGTTATGTAATCTTTGTACATATAGGCAGTATTTTTCTGTAAAACTTCATATTGCTAAAGACATACACTAAGAATTTATGTAGATAATGTACTTTTATGAGATGTACAAGTAAGTGTCTTATCTGTACAAATGTAAATGTTGATGAAAATGCAATTGGAGTTAATATTTTAAGAATTCTTTAGTATACTCTTGGTGTGACTATATTACAAAATGGGATGCTGGCAATGAAACAGTACATTTAACACTATTGTATTTTTATTATATGTAATTTAGTAATATGAATATAAACCTTGTAACGTTTAAAGTTATGATGGAGGCTGTAATCATTTTATAATCTTGTTTTTAATTTTAATGCAAGTACACTGGTGTTTATATTTGCACAAAGTATTGATACGTGATGCAGTCAGTCACAAAAGTAAGCTGTGACATTGTCAATATGCATTTGGCGCCACAACATCTTTTTAAAATGTATTTGGATTGTTTTCTATGTGAAACAAACCAATTAACCACCTGTTGTAGTAACTGGTCTTTTTATATTTAAGCAGAATCTGTAAGATTGCTTGTCTGTGCTTAAAAACAATACCTTTGAAAAAATTTTGAGTCACAGAATAGCGGTACCATGATATAACACTGCAGTTGTCTGAACTACAGTATGCACAAAGAATAAATTAGCATTAATAAAGAGTCCACACTAAACATTTCATATAATCACATTGAAGAGCTGTAACATTCCATAGAGTGAAGTGGTTCAAATTTCTAGTGGAGTTTTTACTTTTGTTGGCCTTATTTTATGATCATTTTCCTATTTTTTTTATTTAGAGCAGTGGTTCTCAACCCGTGGGTCACGAACAATGAAAATACATCCTGCATATCAGATATTTACATTACGATTCATAACAGTAGCAAAATTACAGTTATGAAGTAGCAACGAAAATAATGTTATGGTTGGGGGTCACCACAACATGAGGAACTGTATTAAAGGGTTGTGGCATTAGGAAGGTTGAGAACCACTGATTTAGAGTTTAACACATGGCCAAAATAATTTAGTTACTACCTCATATAAACAGTATAATGGTTACTACACATCACAGGAACTTAGTTTTGGTTCAAGTCATTTTTTATTGCTTTTTTCCAATGGAATATGTATATACCAAGTTTTAGCAGAATGCACACTCTTGGCTCTTTTTTGGTATACGGTCTTTATATTTTAATGTAAGTATATACACTAAGAACAAACTAAATTGTGATTTATGATCTTCATTTATTTTAATTGACAATGCTTTTAAATATGTGTCTGATTGTACATAGTGTAAAATAAACATGTTTTTTTAACATGCTGTTGTATAGTAGCTTGTTATCTGGCTTCATCTACCTATAGTAAGACTAAAATATATTGAGTAAAAGTGTTTTTAAATTATATTCTGCATTAAATCCTTAAGGATTCATTCTGGTACCTCCAATCATCTCTTTTTTTTCTAATCTGTCATCTCAATTTCGTAAGGGAGTAATATTCCCACATTTGAGAAAAGGAAGTCTTTTGTAGAATCTTAGCTTCCTGATTGGGAAAATTAAACAACCATAGTCCTTTGGTTAAAGCAGGTGTTGTCAGACAACATACCTCAGCCCATTCGCACTCACCATCTGACTTTGTAAATGAAGCTTTATTAGAACACACTAGATATTCATTTACTGTTGTCCGTGGCTGCTTTGGCACCACAGTGGCAGAGTTGAGCAGTTGCAAAAAAAAAACACTGTATAACTCACAGAACCTAAAATACTTACTACCTGACCCTTTAATGGGAAAAGTTTGCTGACTCCTAGGTTAGGGAAAGGAAATGAGACTTGGGGAATACAGTTCTGAGGGAAGGAAAGGTGGAATTAGGTGGGAAGAACTGGACTGGGAGTCACAAAGCACCATTTCTACTCTTGCTAAGGCCACTGCCTGTTGTGTGACCTTGGGTAATTTAATTGACCCTAGAACAGTCTCCTTGACTAGAAATGTAACTTCTAAATCCTACAGATGTTGGCGATCCGAGCAGGTTTGTCACTTTTCCCAAGCAAATACATTGTGGCCAATCTTAGCATTAATGACTGAATAATAACTTTTAAAAGCACATCTTTTACTAGTGTAACATCTATTTGCTGAAAAACAGACTCATGGAAAATACTTTTGAAAAATCAAGATCTGCTCTTGGCATTTATTGATAGTGTTGTTGATCTTTTTTTCTGGGCCACTGTTTTTCCAAGTTTTATATCCTACAAGTGATAGAAAGAGTCACATCTCAAAAAAAATGTAACCATCACATTTAACTGTCAATCACTTATAAATATTTCCATAGAATATGGTATATAACTGGTTGTATGTTACCCAGGGGCTTTTTAAAAATACAGACCCCTGGAATCATTCTTTGGAGGTGAGGCCCAGTAACCTATATATTTATAAAGTTGTACAAGTCATTCTGATGTATAACCCTGCGTGAGGACCCGGGTCAACATTGAATGTAAATCAGTATTTCTGAGTGTGGTCCAAGGATCACATGCCTCAGAAAAAATCACCCTTAATGACACTTAAAAATGCAAGTTTGGGGTCTCCACCCAGTAACTTGAAGGATTTTTATTCACTCAAAAGGAAGAGAGCCACTCAAATGTTTGAAACAATCTATTTTTATCTTCATTGAAGTTTACGTTATTTATTTTGTTAGCTACTTTCTTAAATCTTGGTGTTGAGAAGAATGAGATCAGTTGTCTCTGGGTCTGTTGGCATCATTCAGCTTGCAAGTATGTCACTGATTTCAGTAGAGAACAAGAAAGGACACACAGATAACCAGTTTTTACTATTACTGGAAGAAAGGTTAAAGTGTGTGCTATCCAAAATAATGGGCACCCACCAGGAGTATTACTTAAGGGGCTATAGTAACATTATGTACCCAATACATGTACCTGTGGGCCAGGTGCTATACGACGTTTTACATAGATTGTCCCACTGGCCCAGAGCAGCCCAGTGAGGCGGGTATTATTAATGCCAATTTACAGATGAAGAAACTGAGGCACAGAAAGTTTAAACAACTTGCCTAAGAATATCGATGATAAGTGATAGAACCAACACTTCACTTATGCTAAATTATGTATTACACAGAATACATGCAGGATATCCACTCCTCTGTAAAACACACTTGCATGTTCTACTTTGAAATTAGATTTATTTTCTCCATTTGGGAATTGAACTTCAAATTCTGATTTCACTGGCTCTTTGCAATAAAAGAAATTAACTTACTGTCTTAATTTTTTGCTTTACTAAAAAGCATTTTCCTTGTTCAAAGCATTTGTTATGAAAAGGATTTGCATAAAATCAATTTACAGTTAAAGCTTATTAAATAAATCTAGTTAAAACTCATTACAAAGACTTTTTTTTTTTTTTTTTACTTTTGTGAGATAATTATTTAACCAACATCTATTCATAATCATTTACAGTGTATTCAGGCATTACTGTCGCTGGAGAAAAGATGGAAAAGGCATCATTCCCAGTATTCAAGGGGCACACTTGGGTGACTAAAGATAAATTTAAAAAGAGGTACAAAAGGTTGTGCCTAATTCTGCTTTGGGAAAAGAAAAACCTTTATCTAGAAAGTTGAATACAAAATGGGTTATTAATAAATGAAAAGAGTTTATCAAGTGCAGGGAAAAACTAAGGTAGGTGCTGTAGGCTAGACTAAAACACCTGCAAAAATGCTGTGTGTTGAATGCAGCTGAGTTTGGGGTGCATGGAGCAGAATCATGCCATGAAAGCAGAGAACAAGGATGGGCCGGACTGTGAAGAGCTACCTCTGGAGGAAAGTAGCTCTAGTAATCAACGGTTTTGGAAACTGCAGAGATGAAATGCAACATTAAAGTGAAAATAGGCTGTTGGATTTGTAAACAGGCAACCACTTGTATCCTTACTGAAAAATTTCTATAACATGATAAGAGTAAAAATGGGTAGATGTGAGTTTACGTAGATTTGAGTATAGTGGAAATATATTTGGTTTCTGGTTTTGTTTTCTAAAGATGGGAGGAGATTAGAGGATATTTCTAAGCAAATTGAAGAAAATGGAAAATGGAAGATAGGGGAGAAAAAGGAGGTAAGAATGGAAATTGGGGCATCCTGAATCTGAGCATGGTGGACAGCATCTTACTGATGTTAAAGTATGTATGTGTTCATTAATAACAGTATTCTTAAGTTCGCCTTGGGAACAAGAAGGTAAGCCTTGCTCCCAAAAAATGTATTTTTTCCAATTTACCTCCGTATACCATTCCTTACAGTTTGCTTGACTTGCTTCCCCACTGGGTGGCAAACATGTCTTTTAGTCTAAACTAGAGGCCTGGTGCACAAAATTTGTGCACTGGGGGGGGAGGGGCCCTCAGCCCAGCCTGTGCCCTCTCGCAGTCTGGGACCCCTCTCTCCTTACCACCCCCCTGCTTGCTGCTCCTTAGCCCTCTACTCACTGCTCCTTAGCGCTGCCGTGGAGGCGGGAGAGGCTCCCACCACTGCCGCTATGCTTGCCAGCTGTGAGCCCAGCTTCTGGTTGAGTGGCACCCACCACCACCACCACCACCACCAGGGGGCAGCTCCTGCATTGCGCATCTGCCCCCTGATGGTCAGTGCACATCATAGCTACCAGTTGTTCTGGTCGTTCCAGTCACTTAGGCTTTTATTATAAGATCAGCCCCAGTACTAGTGCAATGCTTCCTGCATTATGAAAAATGGCAGCAAAATACCATAAGCCTACAGAAGTTTGCTGAAAAATTATTTGGGCAATAAAGCAGGACCAAAGAGTAATGACTAACAATAAAATCTAATAAACTGGGGGTTTATGCCCAGGCCTGAAAACGGACATGCGCTCAACTTTTACAGGTGCTGATTTTAGTGCTTTTGCAGCCTTGGAAGGAACAGGACCGGGTGTAATGACCGTGTTCATGGGAAAGCCCATGTTTCCGGAGCGCCGCTTTCAGGGACTCTTACAGGGTTCTCGGAGGAGAAACTGCAGGGGCGCCCACACGCCGACGTTCCAGGCTCGCGGGAAGGTTACCAGGCGATGAAGAGGGCGGGATGCGGGCTTCCCCCGCGGGGCGCGTGTGCGGGAAACCGGCTCCCGAGCCGCCCTGCGGCGCTGGGCCTGAGCGTCCGGTTGCCCGGGAGACGGCGCGGCAGTTCCGCTCGGGAGTTGCTGTGCGAGCGGCGGGCGGGCTGGGGGGCTGGGCCGAGGACCCGCGTCGGAGTTGGGGCTGCTCGGGGCTGCGTCACCGTCTCCCCGTCGGCGGGCGCCGTAAGTGCGGGTCCCCGGCGGCGGGGCGGGTGGGACGCGAGTCGGCGCGAGCTGGAGAGCGGTGTGGCGTGGGGACGGCCGCTCCCAGATAAGGGGGCGCTCCCCGCGAGAAGGGGAGCAGGGCTGCCTGCCCGCCGCGGCCTCGGGCGGGACCGGAGGGGTGAGGGCCAGCGGCTGGGGGGCGAAAGGCTCCGGCGGCCACACGGCGAGTCTCCCCGGCGGCGCGTGGGACGGGGCCGCGGCGGCGGCGACAGGGGGCGAGGGGCGCGTCTGCGCGTGGGGAGACCTCTCTGTGGCCCGTAACCTGAACCACGTTACGTGAGGGTGGAGGCTAGTTCCGTGGCCCGAAAACAAAGGGATTTGTGCCGAGCTTTCACACCTGGATGTGTACACGTGAAACGTGATGTTTTAAAACAAAATTAGTTGCCTTAACTAGGTAAATTAGGTGTTTTTATGGTTTTCCGGGGATGCTTTTAATAAGTCCAACTGTGCTATCACCAAGACAAAGATTCTAAGAAGGTGCATGTACTCTTGCAGTTCTGTAATTCCCGGTGATAAAGCCGACGCTGACTGGTTTCAGCCCGTTTTCCCGGTCAGTCTTCGGAGCTGTGCACACGCTTGGTTGCCCTGGACACAGTAACAATGGAGCAGATTGTGACTTCCGACCTGTAGAACCCGTGAGGGCCCGGCCTGATCGGGAAGAGGTCGCCTTTCCCCCTCATTCCTAACGCCACTGTTTGCGAATTCACTAGGAACTTTTAGATCAGGAAATTAATACCGTTTCCCACCCCGTTCCTCCTCCCTTTCTTAAGAAATACATCTCCGTGTATTCAGTGTTAGGACCTGGTTAGTGACACAGTTGTGGATCATAGTCTGCCTCCACGTGTTTCCTCTGTTCATACCTGCATCCTTTTGCACATTTTTAAGACAGGTAATTAAATGGAAAATTGTCAAAGAATTTAGTGACCCACTCAAGTATATATCTCTGTATGTCTTTCTGTATTTACCAATCGGCCTAAGTCTATACCTGTTTTTGCTTTTGTACACAAAACTTCATTAACTTAAGAGTCAAATATTTGGTAAATTCTGAAGGCAGGAGTCCCTGTAGCCAAGAGGGATATGGCTTCAGATTCAAGGTCACTAATGGCTATGAAAAA